CGATTAAAGTTTATACGGTTGAAAAGAGAATAAAGGGTTCAAGAAGCTAGCTGTGATTATGTTAATTTCAAGTATTTAATTAATGGTGTAAAAATCTGTTAAATTGTTAGCAGAAAACAACGGATAAACAACTAAGTGAAAAACAACAGCTTGCTAAAAATGTGAATACGAAGTTGTATATTATTAGAAATGGTTAGCGGTTTAATTATTAGCTGTACACATTTAAAGTATATATAGTTACATTAATGTATGGATAAACTGTGGATTTGTTAGCTAACAACACAAACTAAATAGCTAGAAACATAGTCACATGAAAGAAAGTTTTCACAGACTTTATACCGTCAGCGCTTTTTACTGCTTTTACAGTTTTTACAAGGTAAGCAGTAGGCAGTTGCAAAAAACAGGAAAAGAGTAAAAGACAAAAGTGGAAATGACCCCCTTAGACTTCTTTATTTTTCCCTGAGTTAACGGTTCTATTAATAGTTACCTAACATAAACTAATGTCAGTCTTTTAGCAGCATTAGTCAGAGAGTGAAATGATGTAATACTACTTACATAGGGAAGTCTCATGGCTAATGTTTTCAAAAAGTATATTGAGGGTCTGGAGGAGCTGGACACACACGTAACGTCCAGACTTCTGACGGAGGATGTTCAAGAAGAAGGCAAACATGTTCTTCTCCAGGAAGAAACTGGTCACAGACATAAGACACAAGCAGGTAAAAAAAAAAAATTAATTCAAGTTGACTGAATAACATACAACCATCATAAAATGGACAATGTCTTAAAAAAAAAAAGAGAGAGAGACATTACCCTGCTTACTAATATTATGGTTAGGTGTTTATTTATCATTTTCATACAGTATTCTTAATTTACAGCACTGTGCACTTGAACAACCTCTGAGTGTTGGCTAAAGACTTTTGCACAGTACTGTAATTCTTATTCTTATCGCAGTTGTTCTACTCACTACACCCAAATGCATCTCAGCTGACTCTCACTTTACTTTCCAGAATATTTCAACACTGTTAGACCATCATAATTTATGTGCAGCGATATACTGACTTTCTGCACTTACAGACCGCAAACTTCACCTTTAAAAAAAATGATCTCAGACTAGTTTTTTGTTTAATATTAGGTTCTCATTTTAGAGAAGTAAACACCTCAGTACTTTGCATCATAGAAACTGGATAATGTTTAAAATCATCACTTTGATAGCAGAGTAAGATGTCACTTTAACTCCCACATTAGAGTACCACCTTCATATCTGTATTTAAAAGTGATGAATCGCACACTAAGACTTGAACTGGGACTTACTCAAACACAGAGCTGTCATTCTGGTCCCCCCAGATGAGGATCTCTGTGATCGAGCGGATGGTCTCCACCAGAAGGTTCCTGTTGTGATCTGTTACTGTTGTGTTTTTTGTCAAGACGTGGTACATATACCTGATAGAGAGAGTTACAGAAATAAGGTGAAAATGTGAAAGAGGAGGTGAAAAAGCCATTTGTTTAAATTTGACTGAAGTCATTAACATTCACATATCTGTATCTAAACCTAGCAGGACAAAGATTGCACTGATCGCGTGACATTGCGGAAAGCTGCTAGATAAACCTAATAACGTTTCAAAAGAATATTGATAGATGCAGTAGCGCTGTTACTGGGCTAGTGCAGTGTAATAACCACTAACCTAGAAACTTGTGCACACAAGAGGTTTCCCTCATTTAGCCTCACTAGAGCCCTGGCTCGGGATTTTATGTCCTGATTCAGGTTGATCGAAATCACCCCTCAATGTCATGCACCTGTTGGGGTTAAACGAATGCATGTTTTCGTACTCTGGTAAAAGCCAGTGTTTTCCAGCATGAGCTCTTTTAATTCAGCCTCCATGCAAGCTTTACAAAATTGGTAAATACAGTTCTTCGTGTATTAATGATATTCAGATTAAAATTTAATTTAAACACTTAATTTATCGTCTTAATTTATAGTGTCAATTCGGTTTTTGTCTGCTAGGACTACATCAGATTTTACTTACCTCGCAAAACATAATAAAAAAAATCCAGTAATCCTTGCTTTATTACAATTTGATTGAATAAATGCATTTACACACATTCACTACTGCTAAATATTTGGCTAAATATAACGCTGGTAAAAAACGACTGTCGTTTTCAACCAGCGACCACTTAGGCTAACATTAGCTTATTTCATGCTAACTACTCACTTCAAATGGTCCAGGGAGTGGATATTTTTCGCTTTCCCCTGTCCTCCAACCCAGCTCCGTGACCGGCCAAACATGGTTGCGATTTTAATGGGACTGCAATTTTGCCGGGCGCCTTGTTTTGCTAGTGTTAGTGTTCGTATCTATCCATTACACCCACTTTCCCGTTCGGCTAGCTGCTTAGCAAACAGGGGGTGATAGGCGGTGATGGTAGCCACTGCGGGGTCATTACGTAATAGCGTGGGCAAAGGGAGTTGTAGTTCTTTTCCCTACGAGAGGGTTTACAGTAGAACTGAGAAAAAACTACAACCAATGACTTCCCATGCTATCAATGATGGTTAAAGCACGCGACCATAACTGTTTTGGTGATTGACAGCTCTAAGGCCAATCAAATGCCGACGCTTTGGTTGGTTGCTGGTTGGGACTGTTTTGATGCGGTTGGCAGAGATGTTAAGACGGGACATTATAAACTATAAATAATTCGACGTGTGTTTTTTTGAATAGTTCGTCTCTTTCTGTCCGGGTGTGTAAACAACAAGTCCGCAGTAGTTTTCTTGCATTTTTTTAGACCGACTCCTATGCTACTTTTTTTTTTTTTAGCTCTAGCCACCAGCTGGCATGGCGTGAATTCAACAAACTCGCGGAGTCAATGCCAAGAATGCGTCGAGCTAACTGGCTGTGATATTTGAATGTGTTCCTCTGGTTATAATTAGCTATGGACTTTATGTTGTTTAGCCCGCATGATTTCCTGTCGTTTTCTTCTGGACCGTACAGATAAGCTACTACATTGAGGGCTTCCTCTGAATCGTCGTTGCAGGCCAGGACGGGCCGAAATGGATGCCCCAATCCCAGCTACCCACACAGACTTCTAACGCTGACAGCAACAACTTCAGGCCACACACACACACACACACACACACACACATACACAAGAACCCCTATCCGTGGCTTTCTTTATTTTCTATGACACACCAAATTTATGCCCAGCTAGATTCGGTGGAATCGCTCCTGGACGAACTCCCATATATGTTTTATTTGGGCCTGTTCTTTGTCAACGTCCTGATCCTCTATTATGCCTTCCTGATGGAGTACATCGTCCTGAATGTGGGGATAGTATTCCTGCCTGAGGATATGGACCAGGCACTGGTGGACCTCGGGGTGTTGTCCGACCCGGCCTCTGTTCCCTATGACACGGACACGGAGCTGGATGTGTTTGAGGGATATCTGGAGTGACAAGGCGGTCCTGGAAGGAAAAAACGGAATAATCAGATTTTGATAATGATGTTGCTGGGATCAAGAGGTCAGGCTGGTGCTCCCAGGTCAGCAGTTTGTTGGGAAAATGCCTCAAAGTGGATGCTTCTTAAGCTTTTTGTTCAGAGAGGCACATCAGGCAAAAAGTAAGCAAATGGCACAAGTGCAGTCAAACGTTTAAGTATTTAGACAGTCATAGTTTTGCAATTTTGATTCCATACACCAGGACACTGTGATTGAAGTACAGACTGTCAGTTTTTCTTTTGCATTAACTTTTTAGGAATTACAGCCTCTTCTTATACATAGTCACCCATTTACATAGGCTGAAAAGTAGTTCTTCAAGTGTTCATTTGGTGATGATTTCCATGGGTTCAAGACTTCTAGACAAACGATATTTATCCAAGCAGTTCTTTCATTTAAAATTTAAAATCCAGTTACTATCGAAGCTCTGAACACGGAGGACTGCATAAAAACAGCTGTAGTTTCTAAACTGTTAAATACTTTTGTGCAATCCCTGACTTAAAGCTGAAAGTCTGCACATGATTGTTTGATTGTTAAAATCCACTGTGGTGGTGTACAGAGGCAAAGATTGTGTAGTTCTCCAAACACCAGATTGTAATAGTCAATAAGTAAGCACCATATGTTCAGCACACTTTAATAGCCAGTATATCTGTTATAAAGTCAAATTTAAAAATCAAGCTCTACCTTTTTATGATGGTAAATGTTTTTTTTTTTGTGTCCACAGGTAGGTTGAGGATTCATCTCTTGCAGACTTATGATCCGTGACTGTTTGATGGAAAGAGCACTTTGGGAAGGCGTGTTCCCAGCAGAATATCAAGCAACCACAAGAGGTTAGCGCTGGCCTCTGCTACCCTCGCTTTGGATACAACGAAAATGGAAGCACAGCATGGTGCAGGAGAACGGAGAGAGACAGCTGTTCCCTTTGGAAGAAAAATTAATGTTGCCAGGGATGTGGATCTATCCAGGAACTGGAAGTTCACTCTAAAAGCAAAATGTGTTTGAAACTTGCCGCATCAGCCATGGTGTGATGTCCTACAATGTGACATATGGCAGTAGAACTGGTGAAGTGCAGGAAAACAATGTCCAATAAGCATGATGAATACTTAATCACTCACAGAACAACTTAAGTCACCGTTTTATCCTCTAATACAGAATCCAATCCTCTCTTAAGAACATCCTCGCGGAGATTTGGGTCCACTAACATCACCCTTACTCTCAGAAGCACAGCTAAGAATTATGGAAGCACTGGTGAAGCATAACACTGTCTCTGAACTGAGGCGGGGAAGATGTAGGACATAAAAGCGCCGTAAACTTTTTAATATTGTCACTACGCCATTCACCACAAGTCAGAGAGTATTAAAGTGTCGAGAAAGAGGTATTTCTTTAGTGCTGTACCCCTTTGTTTGTCAGTAATTAGGCGGAGTGGTGACCACTGTGATCACAGCTGGCCAAACCTGTCAAATGTCTGAAAAGGAGCCTCTAAAGAAAGGCTTCATTCTTTTTTCTTTTTTAAAAAAAAACAAAAAAACAACAATTTACTGAGAGACGAGATGCATTATGCTGACCGTCTTCAGAGGATTTTGAGCCAGCTGTTTAATTCCTTGTGTTCTCCTGCTTGTGCTGTCACAAATTTAGAGCTGCTTTTTATGAAGTGTATATTCTCAAGAGCAATAATAAACTGGATTCAAGCAATGGATCAGTTACATAGTTATACAAATGAAATGGTTCACAGGTAACCATTTCATCCATGAGCTTGGCCAATTGTGGATGGGGAGAAAGTAAATATAAATTGTCTATATTTTGCTAGGCAGCTTTTCACCGAGATTGCTGGTGCTGGTATTTTCCCTCGTCAGCACTCAATATAGGGAGATAATAATCCACAGCCACACTGTGTAATTAACTAATAGGGAAAAAGGGAATACAGAGTCTTGCTGTGATTCAAGAACATGGATGAAAACAAAGTAATTTAAGAATGTTTTTCAGAGAGTTGGCACCAGAGTTTAACAAAAAGCCGATCATTGATACCTGATACCAAATCGTTTTTTATGTGGGTTAAGGCCTTGGTGATATTTTGGTAGTTGTTTTTGTCAAGATGTCCATAGCTAAGTTTTTTTGGAGGGAAAACATGTGTTTGGAAACAGTATTTAGACCACAGGGCACTAAAACTCAGGATACTAATAAAATATATAGTATGAATACTGTGTGTATTCCATACGTTTATGTGGAATTTAATCAAACAGGAACAGAATCAATACGAGGTAAGGCTGTGAATAGGAGATAATATTTAAGGAAGTGTGTAATCTCGCTGTCTCATGCTGTAAACAATGTTAGCAGGCGGCTTTCTTTTCATTGACCAATGTCAGTACAACAGTGCTTCTTAGTTTTGGTATGAAAACAGTAGCATCTGAAGCTGTAACAGATTTCCTAATTTTGTACAAAAGTCAGTGGCCATGCTGTTTCCCAGGCATGCTACCCTGTTCAGGGCCACCATCATCATCATCATCTCGCGGGAAACATACAACCTGTGCTTGTGTCGTCCCACCGCATCGGCTTCTTTGCAGACATGCACATGCTCAAATGAACTGTAGAGTTTTATTTTCCATTGTGTATTTAATAAACTTTGAGCGAATGCCAGCTTGTAGCCTCTTTCTTTAAACCATCAGCTTGTGTATTTCTGCAGGTGTGAGGGTTTTATTAATAATCATGTGCATCAGCGTGATGTCATATTGCTTTTTAACCACAAGAGGGAGTGAGTGCAACAGAGAACAGCAGCAGTGGCTTCAAATTGTGGGAATTCTTTGAAGTCTCCACAATTCGATGATGGAAATCCCCAACAATGCTAAGTGTTCAGATTTGTTAGAATTTGCAAAGCGTGGTGGGAGTACGCTCTGCGTGATAACGGCCAGATGTGACGGCCTGTTATTTGATTCGACTCCGAGAAGCAGTGCTGCCAGGAACTGTAGATGGATATTTGCTTACTTTCAGGTCTATTCATAATGTGAATCCAGTATTTTCCCTTTCTATTTGTTGAGATTCAATCTCGACCCAGTTCTTTCATTACCAACAATTCATGCTTCACGTGTGAGATTAGTAATGAAGTATCTAACAAATGTAATTTTGTTTTTTATCACTTCGTCGAGTGCGCACGCAGAGACTGACGTTCTTAAAGGTCAGTTTGCATCGAAATGGAGAACAGAAACATGCAGTGAAGGAAGTGAAAAGAAGGTTTTTTTTCAAAAAACCCATTGAATTCAGTGAACACAGGGGCATCAGTGGAAAGAAAACACTATAAAAATAGTAGTAGGGTGAGTGTCAAAGCATTTTATTATTATAAAAGTAACCAACAATCAGTACTGTATAATTTATAGCCAGAAAAACACCGTTATCCTCCCCCCCTCTCTCTCTCTCACACACACACACACACAGCACCACAAATACACGAATAAAGGCACCTAAAGGCAGATAATGGCAAAAACTTGGACAGACAACTATAAAGAAGAAAAAAACCAGCCACCTTTAATAACAAAGGGTGACTATAAAAGTGCAATTGTGCTTTTTGAAGTTGAAAGTACTGAAAAACAGTACACACACACACACACACACACTCACACACACACACTTTGTAATGCAGATAGTGGAATGTTATGAAGAACCAGCAGCAGAGAACAAGCAGCAAGTACGTCAGTTGTAGTGCAATCTCAAGTTTCACATAATAATTTGTTTGTGTCCTTTCCTTGCAAGCACACACGTTTGAAAATGTATTGTGCAATTTAAGTATACATCATGAGATGCATGATGAAAACAGTTCATATGCTTGTAGAGAGGTATTGCATTTTAGTGCAATCGGATGCGGCTGTCCTGCTGAATGAGTCTCTCAAGCACACCGAAGGGGATGCACTGGTTCCACATCCTGGGATGATGAAATGAGATGAAACAGGGTAAGAAAAAAAAAAAAACCCCATAAAAAATTGGAAAAAATAAAGATGTGTGATGAAGTAACATGAAAGAGCTCCTCACCTTAAAGTCTTAACTTTTGTACAGTTTCTTAGGCTGGCTCCTAAGCTCTGTGCGCCGACATCTGTTAGTTTGTTAAACTTTACGCTGTCAAAGAAAAGTGAGACAGAAGTTAGATGTGTTTTAACAGAAAAAAGCCTATAGCGCAAATCCAGACATCGCAATATGTTTTGTCTATAATATGAATACATGAACGCTAAAAATAAAACCAAAGCAGAAGTAGCAAAAAATGTGGAAGTGCTCTTTGCTTTTCACTTGAATTCCCAGTGAACTTCTGTTTGAAAATGCTTCATCGCAGAAATAAACATTTTTGCAACCTGGTATAAAAACAGCTTTGGGACCACCGTACCGGGCAAAGACAAAGATATACCACATAAATATAAAATGCAGTTTTTAAGTGATTTATTTTGATTTATTAGGGAAAAAACTATTCATATGTCACGAGGTGGAATGGACAAGTTGAACTGAGTGTTTTTTATTTTGCATGTGTCGCTGTGTTTTATTAGTTTCAATCTTTTAACAATGTACAGTGTTTTATTCTTATGGTTTTATTGCATGTTTTTATTGTATGTATTTGTTCACTTGTCCCGGAGAGACTTGAGCCCCCTCCTGATCACTAATTGGACACACCTGGGAGGTCACAGAGGAAATAAGAGGGCCAACAAGAGGGCCTGGCAGGACAGAGACAAGGGAGTGGACACCGGAGGAGGGCAGCAGGACGCCGCCCTATCGCTGCTCACGGTGAGACAATAGTGCAGGTGAGACACAGCAAAGCAGTGGGCAGAGTTGAGAGCTCTGCCCCTCCGGAGCAAGTCACGAGTGATACCGTGCTAGAAGAAATCCCAGTGATAGGAAAGAACAGTGACTGTCGCTGCCCCCTCTCTCTTCTGGCTAGGCTGCTAATAAATCTTTATTTTTTATTTTTTTGTGCTATTCGAAGGTGTACTTTCTAGTGTATTTCAGATCATCGTCCTACTGCAAAACCAAAGGATGCATGTACTTAGGGCCAGGAACTCCTGGTTGGACATTCTCCCTCAGGTCTATCTGGTAGAGAGCCGAATTCATGGTTCCATCAATTGCAGCAAGTCTTCCAGGTGCTGAAGCAGCAAAGTAGACCATCACACTACCACCACCATGTTATGTTCTTTTAATGAAATGCTCTGTCAGTTTTACGCAGATGTAATGGGACTCAAACCTTCCAGAAAGTTCAGCTTTTCTCTTGTCAGTCCGCAGAATATTTTCCCAAAACCTCATCAAGATGTGTTTTGGCAAACGCGAGCCAAATCCATCTACCTTTAGTCAGAGCTCTACAATGGATGCTTTTTGTGCCCACTGTCTTCCTTTTTGATGAATTATGAACTCTGCCCTTAACTGAGGGAAGCGAGGCCTGCACTTTAGATGTCGTTCTTGTGACCTCTTGGATGAGTCACTCATGTGGTCTTGGAAAGTTTCATCACTGTTCTAAGTTTTCTAAAGCTGTGGATAAGAAGCAGAAGCAAGCAGTGGAGTCCAAGAGCCTTAGAAATGACGTTATAACCTTTTTCATATTACTTGGTTTCTAAATTGTTGCTTTATATTGTGGGATGATGTTGCTTTTTGAGATCTTTTAGCCTGCTTCACTTCATCAGACAGGTTCTTTGTAATTCAACAAGTCTGCCAGTAATCAGCCCTGAACGTGGGTAGTAAAACTGAACTCAGCTTTGTCATTTTAAAACTGCATTTTGTATTTACTCAGATTATCTCTGACTTATACCAAAATATGTTTTTGCATATTTATTTAAGTGTGATAAATATGCAAAAAACTAAGAAGTCAGGAAGGGGCAAGTAAGCTTTCACAGCATATTAAAGTGATACATTCTTAGGGGTGTGGCCACTTTGACTGACAGGTGAGCATCACCTACAAACCTGGGCCTCCTGTCTGCTGTCATCATGTCAGCTAATTCAAATGACTGAACCGCACCTCTCAGTCATGTTTGTCGTGCTGTGGTGTAATTTTTACATTACTTGGCACTAAACTCGTAACTTGTCTCACTGCAATACATCTGTACAGTCTATGGAAGCACCTTGATATCCAAGCTTGCTAGACTGACTCACTTTCATCACAAGCTAAAGACCCCTTCCTAATTTTAAGTAGTCACTGGTGCATTACTGTGAGTGAAAACATAATTAAACAGCAAGCGAAAAAGGACCTTAAAAGTATATAAAAAATTAACTAAGTGAAACTATGTAGAAAAATAACTGTCAAACAAATGAGTTGTCTTGTGGTCAGTTCCCATCTACACCCAATCCCTGCCTGTGTAAGTGGAATTTGTCAGTCTTTTAAACGGGAAGACCTTTGCTAAAACAGAACCTTTTACACTGAAATGTATAAGAACCTAATTCTTAGCCATCAGTTCCAAATAAAAATGTCAAGTCTTACTCAAGGTCAGTGAGGGAAGCCATGTGTGGGAGAACAGCTGCTAAACTCTCTGCCCCTTCATCAGAAATCATGTTGCTGTAGACACTGGAAAAAATAGCAAGATAAAGAGGGAAGTGAAATTATGTGGGTCAAAAGTAAGTGCCACTTTTAGGTTCCTCTGTAGGCAGATGTTACCTTAAACAGTGCAGATTAGGCAGGTCCTTCAGTGTGGCTGCTAACTTCTTCACACCCTCGTCTCCTATGCAGTTCTGTGATAGACTGGAAACCAGAAAAACACACACAACTAAACACACATATCAAAACTAAGTTAAAAGCTAGACTGTGATGATTTTGGGGGGTGTCATGGGAGCTCAACTAATTGTGTCTTTATACCACCAATGACAAATACTCACTTAAGTATCTCCAAAGAAGGGAGTGAGACTAAAGCACTGGCCAGCTTCTCTGCTCCTTTGTCCCCGATCTTGCTGTTCTCTAAGCTAAAGGTGGTGAGAGAATGAGGCTGTCAGTTACTAGAAACATCTCATAAACACAGAGCGATGCTTTAAGCGTAATACAAATAGAAAAAGTCCGCTGTATACTTACTCCAAGTGCTGTAGGTTATGCAGCCCTGGCAGGAGATCCCACAGCTTCGGAAGAACCAGAGGACCATTATCTGGACCAAGTCTACAGGGAACAGTGTCATCATTATCGTCACCAGTTTCACAGTGACAACCATAATAAATTCAGATATCAAACATCTGAGCTACTTACTCAAACTCCAGCTTGTGTAGCTCTTTAACTGCTGGCACTCCCTCGGACAGGATGGAGTGAGACTCGCTGGAGCTACAAGTGAATATAACACGTTTTCACAAACCAGTATGTTGCAGTGTAAATCTGAATGTGTGTGCATAAGTGTGTGGTGTATTACCTGTCTGATAGCCTCTTGTGAATGTGTATGTTCACCAGCTTTTCCAGGTGCTCTATATGACACACCTGTTTAGCTTTCAAAGGATGGATTGTGAACTTGGACACTGCCCTCTGGAGGAGACTTTCTTCGTCACTCTGCTCCAGCAGCTCCCAGAGGGTGATGGCGTCAGCAATGCATGACCTGGAGGACCCACAACACTGTGTTTAACACTGCTATTGGTGCTGATAAAGATCAGCGACTATCAAGTCACAAAAAAGTTCCCAATACTATCCTTTAACCATTTAAATCCTGAGGATTGAACCATAAAAACGTAAAGAAATACAAAAGATTACAAATTAGTTCTCTGGACAGGCTTAAACAGGATAAGTAAACTATGACCGGACAGCCACAGTTTGTAGGATAGTTGTAGCAGGGTAGGGTTTAGAGCTGTATATAAGCACTACCTGTATGTGTTGATGTTGTTGAGGCCAACCAGAGCTCGAAGTCCACAGATCTGGATGCCAGAGTCCTCCAGGTCCAAACAGAAACGTCTGCCTTCAGTTCCCCCCTGTTCAAGTGCTTTCTGAACAGTGAACACATCTGGCGGGCTTAGTTGAACTCCATGAAACGTCAGGAACTCTGGAAGATTTGCTGCTAGGTGTGTCACCAGCCGAGTCCTGCCAGCTTCTCGGCCACCATCACTGTGAGTAAAACTCGCCTCGTAGACGTAGTGGCATGCCTCCAAGATTTGGGAGGGAGTAAGGTCAGCGTAAGAAAGCCCTTCCAGGTGTTTTGTTACCAACCCCTGCTTGTTAGCCACCATATCTCTAAAGGCTGTCTCTGTATGCGTGTGGAATCGCTGCAGTTCTGTCCTATTGTGGAACAAGAGGCCAACTGCAAATCGCTGAGTGAGCTCAAGTTCCTCCCTTTGAGGTCGCCGACGACCTTTCCCTCCAGACTGGAAAGGGAGGGTCTGGAGAAAGGACCGGTCTGTTAAAGTCCTGGAGAAGGAGAAAGAGAAAATGTGTCATGGGAGATTGGGGGATTCTAAAAGTCTGAAAGTGAAAGAGAAAATAGAGTGCAAGTGGAAAGGCTTTCATTTTTAATCTAACAGCATATAAACAGTGGATATTATGATATTTTAGCCCTACTGGCTTTTGATGAATCTGTAAACGGTTGATTTCTACCTTGACAAAGCCAGATGTACTCCTGCAATGTAACTCTGAAGGAAAGGGTTGGCCCATAAGAGGATCTGGTCATTTTGGTGATCAGTTAAATCATTGGTGGTCCTTTCACTGTTTTCAGTCCTCTGTTCTGTCTCTCCAGCTTCTGTCTCATTTTCTCCTTCCTCCTTGGTACTATTTGAGAGGCATGGACTCGCTCTCAGCTGATGAGAGAGAAAGAGGCCTGTTCTCAGACCAAATGCCTTGACTTTGCCAGATATGTCCCGTCCTGTGGGAAGGATGGAAGAGTTGGCTTTGACCCCTTCCCAGGCTAAAGAGCTCAGCTGGGACAACAAGTCAAAGTCCTCCGTTACAGCTTCTCCACCACTGCTCCTGAGATCCTGATCCACTTTGTCTGCTTGCGCTTCCTGTTCTTGTGCCTTTTTTGCCCTTTGGGTGCGAGAGGAAGTGCGTGCCTGCGTTCTGGACTTCCCCTGATTATTTTTCGAACATTTCTTCGCCTGAGAGGTATTTGAAATTTGTGTCTCAGTGTCTCTTATGGATTGTGCTTGAGCTTCGGTGTGTGTGGGAGTACTCCTGCCGTCTTTATCCATTTTTAAACACAGCACCTGATGACAGAGCCCAGTTAAAGTTCTTGGCAGGACATCCACACTTCTAGACTGCTCTAAAATCAAGCACACCAGCCGGCATAGTCCGGGGTTCCAGCAAACGAGATTTAGGTAGCTCATGCTTTTTAGACTCTCCAAAGCTGATTCTCTGAGGCCAGGATCAGAGAAGTACTGGGACAGATATGTTTCCACATTTGCTGGGGTAAACCCACACATCTCCAGAAGGCTGTCTGTACGCCTGAGCAGCTGGCTGGCAGTTCCCCGTGGCCGGGTGGAGAGTAGAAGAGTGCAGCCTGGAAGCAGGACCCTTTGAAGAATGGCAGAATACAACTGCCTTACTGTGAAAGTCTTTGCCTTGCTGTCTTTTTGCAGTGAAGCTGTTAGGTCTTTTTCCTGAGCTTGAAGTAGAGTTTCATAGTTCCGCAATTCATCAAAACCATCAAAAATGATGAGCACACGTTTAGGGGCTGCCAGGATTTGAGCATACACTGCTTCTGGGTCCACACAGGATGGGGCAGAGGAGGAGAGGTTGAGCAGGAGTGTCTGAAGACTGTAGACCGGCTCTGTCACACTGAGCTTTTTGCCATCCAATAGGAATACAAAGTCAAACTGAGGGATGCAGTCTCTGGACCAATCAATACACAGCTTCTTGATCAGAGTGGTTTTTCCCATGCCGGCATTGCCAAGCAGCAAAATGTAACGTCTGGATTTTTCTCCATTTGAACCATCAAAGATCTGAGTGGAAAACGATAAGCAGGCAATGAGTTTAACAAGGTTTTTTTTTTTAAATTCTTTTGTGATATAATCTGTTCAGTAAAAGTGACGCTCCTACCTGACTGAGTGCCAGCATGGTTTTTTGCCGATCTGTGTCTCCCTTGATGACTAGCTCCTTGTCCAGGCATTTGTTTGTATTTTTCCCAGAGCGAACTACCTCTCTTTGGCTCACTTGAACATCTACATAATGAGAAGACAGGCTGAGGCCCGCCTCCATATCCTGGTAGGTTTGACTCATGTGAGCTTTGGCTTCTTGAATGTAGTCCTTGACATTCTCTAAAAAAGAAACAGGACTGAGTACCAAGCTGGTCCTCCACAAACCATTGTATATTCAGGAGATCACTGTAGACAAAGTAAGAAGAGATCCTTAAAAGCCATGCGGCAACTTACGTGGAATATCAAGGACCTTGGGAGACTGAGGAAGAGGTGATTCCTTACATGGAGACATTTCTGAAGTGGAACAAAGCATGAAGTTTGTCACATGCCAGAAACTCATAACCACAAGGAGGAAGATTTGAGACAGATACAGATGCTCACCATTGCCTGGGGATACAGGTGAGGTACAAGGGGGAGACATGGCTTTGCTAGCTGTTTCTGACAGAGAACCCAGTGGGGACGAACTCATTTGGACTGGAGCGACTGTGCCATCGACTACAAACAAACAAAAAAAAAAAGAGTGAAATGACTGCATCGGTACACAAACAAAGCAGATGTTACAGAGAGCAGTTTCCATGTTGTCTCTTAAAAGGAAGAAGCAAAACCATAATGAGGAACAACAAATAGCACAACACCACCAGAGAAGACAAGAAGCAGAGAATAGCATGCACACATGAACACTCACACGCAACCGTCCCAGATAAAAGATTTAACCTTTTTTTACTTACCTGGGGAGAGTGGTGGTAATTGGCATTTAGAGGGTGGTGACACAGTAGGAACTATATTAGAAACAACAGTTAGACAATGGACTACTTGTACAGGGTGTACACAATAATCAGTACACATTAAATAATTAAAGATGTCACTGACATGAATAACACAACCACCAGTGGACAGAAACAACAATGGCAAATCAATAATTCCGATTGAAAAGAACTTTTTTTGCATTGTAAATAGACATGATTGTGTTACAGGTGTGATTGCTAATCAAGGCTGTAGCTAAGCTACAGTTTTTCAGAAGAAGCTTTATGGTCAGATTGCCAAGGCAATTAAAACTGTACATCAACTCATTTTCTTTGCATAATGCTCAACACCCCTAGTCTGCAGTGTCAATAAAAACGTAACACCAGAAGAGTCACAAATGTCACTTTCTGCTGGGCTATGACATAGCAGTACACAGGAAACACTGTTAACTCTTGGCATGCCGGTATTTAACTCACCTAATATATATGTAGGTGTAGTGGCGCTGCGGGGGAGTGGAAACCTAATGAGCGGAGGAGGAGGAGAAAGCTGGACTGGATTTCCTGCGGAATCTGAGATAGTGATAAACTGAATGGGAATCGCAGAGCTTGTTTGGGAAGGGTAAACGCGAAAAATTCTTGGTGGAGTGGCGGTGGACATCGGTAAAGTCTTTGCTGGACTTGGCCCTGATGCGGGATGACTGCCTGCAAAACAACCAGAGCTGGCATCAGTTTCTGGGAACTGGTTTAGTCAGCCTTGAGAGTTATCAGAAAGGGAGTTGGAAAAATGACAACAATGATTTGTTTTTCAAAAAACAGCGAAAGATTTACGGTCACAAACATCCTCATTGCAGAGCGCTGTTGAACTTGTTACTCAAAGACAATCGCATTACGTATTTACTTTGAAACGTGATTACTTTGTGAAAAGGCATTGCACTATTTACCTCCTATTGAAAGTTATTTCTTACACTACTCTGCATTACTTCACCACTTCATCCCAGATGTACTGTCACACAATTTCCATCCAAGAATGAAATAATAAATCTTACATTCAATATCTCCAAAAATGATTAACTCAGTAAGGAGAGGATAGATTCGGTATTTGCTCTAAACCATCACTTTCTTTAACCTTCTAACCTTGAAAGGTTTCACTCTGCTCTGTCATTTCTCTTATCATCATGTTGGGTGATCGTGCAAGTGCAAATGAAAAGTGAGATTAAGCCAAAGACAAATGGACCAAAGTAAAGTGCATTACTCTGCAAATACAGACATGTATACTTAAATTTGAGTGTCCTGTTTCTATTTGTGGTGTAGTATTTCCTTCTAAGCTGAGCCATTAAATCTCTTCAGTGACCAGCAGCTGCTGATGTAAATAAAAATACATGCTCGGGTTTTTTTTTTATCACATTGCGTGGTAAATCGGAACTATAAAAAGCACCAAACTCATGTGAAGCGAGGTGGGTAAGGTGCGAGTTCTTCTTCTAATTCATCGGCGTAAACTCATGACTTACAACTTCAAGTTCCTGTTTTTTTTTTTTTGTTTTTTTTTAAACTAACTGGTTCATGCACATCGGTGGAGAACTATCACCCTGTGATCCAAAAGTCTAACCTCTGAAATTTCATCTGAATTACCTTTTTTGTAAAAAGTCACTCTCACATGCACGTGCTGAAAGTGGTTCTTTTTCATGCTAGCATTTTACCATGGAGCTATTCAAGGGATATTTGTAATATGATATGATATGAATTGCAATATTTGACTTTAATAACCTATCTTGCAACCCTGGTAATCCTCTTTCAACTCCTATCCTGCAGAGTTTCACTTTTTCAGATCAACGTCACTTACAGCGCTTCAAGTTTAAAGCTCCAGATGTTGCCTCAAAAACGGTTTCAGTTTTCATGACTCACCTGGCTCAACAGCTGGCTCAGCCTGTGACTCTTTGGTTTTTGGTTGACCTACAGGAGTTGAAGAACCAACATTACAACATGACAGCAGCAAAACATGCTCAGAACATCCTTTTATTTGTAAACATATCCTTTTCTTTTTGTACCAGATGGTAGTTCATTTTCATGTGATCTTCTATTAATAGTATTATTCCAGATTTGATTAGCAAAAAACCAAAAAACCCAAAGCATCTCTTAATATAGTGATATGAATGGAAACCAGTGGCTGAATTTTAAGCTCTGAGTGTTTGAACTTTTTCCACTAGTCTTAAACATACCAACGTAATTAAAAAAGTAATAAAGTGCAGTGTCAAGTGCTATAAACACCACAGTATTATGACTACCATAAAAATGATAAATTGTCATTATAAGTTTAGTTATAGTAGGCTTAAGAATGTGTCTATTCCACTGGGTCCCAAATGTAATGTGGGTTGGAAACTCCATCGTTTGTTAAACAATCAGAGGAAGACTCTGGGTTAGTCACCTGATGGTTTTGGCCGTTTTGCTTTGGGCCTTTCATCCGAGCATGGCTGTGGCTGAGAATCTGGAGAGGGAAAAACATGTAAGCAGGACTTTAAACAATAAAGTGAAAATGACAAGTTAGAATCCTAAAATTAAGTTTTATATAACAAAAAAGATGCTGTTCTTTGTGTAGTTACGAGCCAATCATTACCTCTCGGTCTTTTTCTCCTTCGTGATTGGCCTTTTGCTTTGGGTTCCTGTATCTGCTCAATGCTGTTGGCGATGGGTACCTCAGCTGCTGTGGGGAGGTCATCAAAGGTCCATGGATGAGTAACTAAAAAAGTCGATGTAGCATTTAGCAGATGCCCCTACTCGAACGTGTTGTCATTGTCATGGCATTTCATTACTGAATTAAAAATCAGTAGCTCTTCAAGGCATCATGTGACAGTTAGATAAACAGTAGGATTTGATTGACTTTTAAATTATGGCATTCTGTTTTTATTTACATTGACACAGCCTCCCAGTTTTGGGGGCAACCAGGATGTACATGGGCTGCTTTCATTTCTTTTGTGGATACTAAACAAAATGTAAAGACTGGACCAGAGTCCGGTCCATTGTCTGTGGGCTTAATCACATTTGATGATGTTGTGAGAGGTTTACATTTTATGGGCCGTGCATTTACAATATGCTGGGTGGAGATTTTTGTGTTTGTGTACTAAGATAACAACAAAGGTGTTTAAATGTATATTGTAGTAGATATTTATTTTAGGAAGACTGTGCAATCTGGTCACCATTGTTTATGTACAGGGGCAAATCTACTATGGTGGCATGAGGTGGCATGTGCCACCTTAAAAAAAATCTCTTGCCACCTTTAGTGTCACCCTAGTTTATTCAAAAAAGCTAGCATTAACACTTTGAGCCTAGCTACAAGTAACACTGAATATGAGTATGTTGCATAATGTTACCTGATGCAAGACCTGCAAATGTGTAAAGAAATGGCTTTGATTTTTCTGATTTCCATGCCACCCTAAGAAAATGTTTCTAGATCCGCCTCTGTTTGTCTAGCCTGCTAGGTGGTTAGCACCATTAAGAAATGCTGGCAAACCACCTCACATATCCAGTAACCACTGCTTCTCTGCACAATGATCGATGTTAATGAAAATAGCTTTTTTAGTTGCATGAAAACACTGTTGCAACTAATGTAAATTTTTAATATTTACTTATTTAAAGTTTACTTAAGAAATTTTACTTTTACTTACTGATAAGTAAAAGCTATTACAGGTAATACTTGCATAAAACTTGCATACAAAAATCTATATAAATATAATTAATTGTGCTCCTTATATTGGATAACACTAAATTAATACATGAAAGGGTTTAGGTGACAATTATAAATAATCATAATTACAATTATAGCGATTTATGACAGCCTGTGCACATGTTTTGTTGCTGCTAAAGTAATGTGGTCCCCTTCAAAGACCTTTTGAAGAGATTCTGCTAAAAATCTTTAGGTTCATATTTAAAAGATAAAACAGTAACTTTGATGGTCAGTTACTCTTACAGAAAAAATAATCAACAAAAGAGACGCTTATCTTATTGCTAGATTTGTCTTATGCAATATTAAGCATTATGATGGATAATAAAGCCAAATGGGTCATGGCAACAAAGTGCTGGCCTTCAGATTGGAGCAGTAGCCTAACTCTGCTTTGTGATTGGGTCATCATTTAGATGTTTTTTTTCTTAAAGGTTAATTTATAACTACAGACTGAAATGACTGAATTACTTGTTGACGTCACTTAAGAAACTCTAAATTTCAATGAGCCCCTCATCCTGAACGTTCAGATGAGGAAGTGAACCTCCGACTGTGACACTGAAAAAACACAAACATTTCTTTACTACTGCGTTTGTTGTGTTTTGTCTTCCTTCCTCATAATTCGGGAAGGCCAAAACAACACTGGTGCATTTCTACAACTAGATTACCACGTTGTGGTTGTAGGCCTCCACCACTCAGACCTATGTAATGTGTAAGATTCCTACACATTACATACACTGGAATTACCTAATTTAATGGTGGCAGTTTTAATGTTATGCCTTACTGTTGCTTATAGTTTAGATTATGGCTGTCCAATATAAGGCCCAGGTGGGCAGAATTGGCCTGGCAAAGACTCTGATCCGGCCCATCATGCATGACTTTGAAAATGTGAAGGGTGTCATAAATTTTGGACTTTTAATTGTATTTTGCTCAATTTTACAACTTTTGCTACATTCACGTTACACCAAAGTAATAGTAAAATAATTAAATGCCAGAAAAGAGCCATTGTTTTCACTATCCATTGTGGAAATGTAGCAGTTTTAGCTGAACGAGTCTTTGTGACAGATTTCCTTCATGAGACTCACCATGAAATTAATAAATTTACAGGAAAGATTCATGTTCTCTGTATCTGACCAAATAATGATTAGTAATGACACTGATACTTTGAACTTTTGTATTAAATGAATTAAGTCATGACTTATTAAGAATCATATTTGACATTTGTGTGAAACTTAGTCATAGCTTAAGATCATAATAATCATAACCTTTGAATATCAACTAATTTTACGCAGTTATTTTATGAGTCCAAGCGATTGTCTGTGACTGACATCAGAGATTCACTGCCATGTTCTTTGTTTTCTTCTGTTTTTCCTCATGTTTCTAGCTCTCCTCCCCTGTCTGTATCTACACTAGGATTTAGATACAAAATTAACAGTGAAGTGTTCGTTTTTTCTTTTTTTTAGGACATCAAATGAAGAACATGTTTAGCCTTATTATGTTATGTGGGCTCTGTTAAGCACTATGTGACAACAGGTACAAAGTAACAAAAGGAGGTTCTTACGGCTGTCGTTGAGTTCTAAGTAGTCAAAGAGGGAATCAACATCTGAAAAAGTGCACAGAGGTAATTATAATTAGATAATAAACTTCACATACATGTGAGACATGTAATAGAAAACTACTATGTGCGTTTTTACATATAGTACACTACACATGAGTAAACACATATAGATGTTTGGCTGCCACTTACCCAGCAATTTTTCATTTATATCATCATCCAAATTATCTGAAAAAATAACAATACCATCATCAGATAACAGAATTTCAGTTTCAAAATATAAAATATGTAAAGTTGATGAATTCATTATACAACACTGCCTCTTTTAAATATGTTAATTACTAATTACTCGTGGAATCGATTGGATATATTAGACAGTCAATATTCATTTATTGTTTATTATTTATTATTAGTCCTGTGTTACATGCTGTTTTTTCAGTCTGTTTGTTTAAGCTTTTACTGTCCTGTGCTGCCTTCCTGACAGTAACAGCTGCTTCAGTGAAATATTCAATCATATTTTGGGGTGTTGGACCACCCCTATCTCAACTGTTAAGCTACCAGTGGTACTAGCATATTTTCCAAAGTGGATGGATTCATCAACTTCACTTCAACTGAACAGAAAGACAAAGATCCCAAACACATGAAACCCAGTTCTGGAATGATAAAGCAGGCTAACTTTAAGTCTCTGCAATGATCCTCCCAAAGCCCCCGACCTCAACCCTACTGAAAGTGTTTGGGCTACTAAATAAAATTCACCAATTCTTCCAAGAATTACTGTCAGAAATCTAGCAAGAATTAGCAAGAACTGCCAAAAGCTTTTGGTAGCGTTTTAATGGTTGAGGTGCACCTTCCTAAAAGACATTTAGCTATTTAATAGTGGTGGAGTATGCATGTATTTGAGCCTGTATGTGAAATTTTGACCCCGTGTGGATTTGAGGAAAACAAAGATAATTTCAAACTTGTGCACCTAATTCTTGTTTTTATAATTATTAAAGTTGCATGCAGCACAATCGTGTAGAGCACAAGTGTATATAAACTGTTTAAGATTAAACTTCATTTCATTCAATAGTTGGTGTTAAAAATGTCTGCTCACAGATAGAAAAATAGAAAGAAAGGAGTGATAATAACCATCTGTGTCTTCTATTTAGAAGTGTTTGTTTGCGTTTTCACTGCCTCAACACATAATTCACCTTTTTATTATCAATGCAGAAAAACAAAGTAGTGACAATGCAAACCTATCAACAGATCCGCCAAGTCCAAAGGGACTGCGATGGGATTGGGATCCACTTCCAGCATCTTGACATCTGGTGACACGCATAGGAAAGAAATAAAATATCCTGATTGGTTATTATTATATTTGTAGGTTAGAGTGGAGTTGAGGATAAGCTGAATAAATGTTGGTAGTTAAAGATCGAGTACAGGGGGATGCTTTTGTCAAAGCTGCAATTCCCTCAAGCTATTCCTAACATAATGCTATCACAATAATAATGGGTTGGACAGAGACACCCTAAAAACACAATGCCTGTTGTAATAATAGTAATGTGAGAAAACAACAGAGGATTTACTGAAAGAGAAGAAAGTAGGAAAGCAGGAGAAGTAAATCAGCTGCCTGTCAGTACACGACACACTACAGTATCCGGCCACAGTCTGGAAAACCATTAACACCTTGACTTTATCACTGTATGGTTAACTGTTCAAACTGTGTTTACAAATATGCACTTTGACTGGGGGGGGGGTAGAAAAAACGCCTGTGCTGGAATTTTACTTGTGCAGGAAGCTCAGGTAAACCTGTTTGCAGAGATGACTACTGCGATCTTTTACAGCCTAAAGACACCTTTAGGATAACCACGATGTGGACAGTAGAAAAAACCCAACAACACCAGAAAAACCAAAAAGCAACTTTTTGCCCTGATGAATCATTACTTGTACAATAAAACACTACACTGACTAATTCTACAAATCACCCAAATTGCAGGAAGGCAGTTAAAAAAGACAAAAAGGATTTCATGCAAAAAAAAAAACCCACTCCAGTTGTTTTAAAGGAGATCATGCACATAAAGTTGCCCTTGAGCGGTGTGGTTGTCTAGCAGTCTATAACCAGTGCCCATGTGTGGTGCCATTTGAGCAGTTAACCAGGTAGTTCACAACACACACACACACCTTGTTTATTAGACCAGGCACAGAGGACTACAGTCGACTATGGACTTTCGACTCACATCCTTGTTTAAAATCTGTCATTGTTTTTCTGAGAACCACTAAAAATAAAGCAGTATATATGTGCCCATTACCTCCCTGAAAAAAACAAACAAACAAATAACAGTGCAACCAGTTGAGTTACTGATCGCACACAAAATATGTCTCTAATGAGGAACTTGGGAACCTGAAGCACACAAAGCACCATGCTGTCTGCACAACTAGAAGAGCAAGACCTTAAAAACTAACAGTGAAAAATAAATATTAAAAAGAAAAGAAAAGAAAAGAAAGATTTTTTTTGTTTAGTCCTGAGTCGGAGTGCGTGAAATTCTTTGTCCCTGCGCAGTCCCACACTAAATGGCTGCCAACTATTACCAAAATATTTTAAAAGTTACATTGAAAGTGATTTTCAACAGCTAATGTACTTCAGTTGCCCGGAATTCCCCGTAAATCCCCAACTGGACTTATTTTCACTTACGACAACGTCTGATCTGTTATTTTTGTGCACTTTACACGTGTGGGGGTCTATGATGGTGGGTGCGACTCCATCTGGTCACACAAAAGCATAATGGAGTTGATTCTTCTTGTCATGGCTGAAACTTTCAAAGCCAAACGCAGAAAATCAATGCAGGTGCTGAAGCAGCCGCTTAATTAAAACTTTAACCTAAATTTTCTTAAAAATGACTAAAGTGGCCCCTGTAAATTAAAGAAAAAAAAGTGTGGAAAATCCCCGACAAATCTTATTATTCTTTTCCTGCGCACTTTGATGAATGCGCAAACCCAGACCCACCGGAGCTCACCATGGCTGATATTCCTACCTGTCGGGTCTCTCTGGGTGATGCTCAGGTCCTGTAAACGCCCTGATGTGATGTATAGTCTGTGTGTCTCATAGAAGTTCCATCAGCCGCTGCATATATCCTCAGATGACCTATACACTGAGAGCGCCCAACCTGCTGTGGCTCACAATGCTTTTGCTTTCACTTTGCCTAACATGCCTTACCAAACGCACCAAGCCGTTAAAGGGCGGTTCTGTGTGCAGAGTGCACCCTGCATCTGTTTTAGGTCTGTTTTAACAACAACGGAAGAAGCAAAGAAAACGTTCAAGAGATGCGCCACGAGGGACCGGTTTATAATGAGGAACAAGGGTGATGTAAAGCAAACAGGTCACCGTGCGTTACAGTCGCCACAACATCCTCAAATATCCCTTTGTTTTTGTTTTTCCCCTGGCAACATGAGCGTTAAAAGGGGGCTCAACTATTTTGCAGGCTACTTAGCTTCATGTAGCCTGCATGGCATGTTTTGATGGACTTTTAATTAACCTCCTAGGACCTGGCATCCACATATGTGGACATCACATTTTGGGTTGTCTAGACCAAAATACTACATTTTGTTTTACAAGGGCCTGATATCTAATTACGAGGACATTATACTGCCACTGTTCTATCGAAATTTAAAGCCAATCTCCTCATATGTGGATGTCATTTTTCTCAGAAAAAAAAATCAAGTAAGTTTTTTTTAAATTACGTAATTATTTGTTTTTACATTCATCAGGTCCCAATCAGCCCAAATAGCAAAGAGAAATTAAAAATGCATGCAATGAAAGAGTTTGGGTCTTAGGAGGTTAAAGCTTGTTGTTTTAGTTAGGTGAACTATATTCTCCCTCATTCCTGCATTGGAAGTGTCTTTAGATCTTAAGATATAACTGCACTTCACCTCAAATCTAAAGCTTGATTTTGGACGGGACAACAGGCATCAGTAGCTCTAAAATGGATCACATTTTGCTTTAATCTCTTACTGTTTAATTTTCTTATTAATATTATTATCATTAATATTCATCCCTTTTCTACATTCTACAACTATGACATTGTTTTCTATCCATTGCTAACAGTATGCTAAATACTGTATGTTCATAGTTTGCCTTTTGGGGATCACAGTGAGGTGTTGTTCAGTTTCTGCTCTGTGACCACCTTAAGACAACCGAAAAACAGCATCAGCGTTCACTGCCAGGCCTTTGGAATTGACAAGGAAACATGGGTAGTTTTCAACAGTGGAGTGGAAAGTACCTGCTCCACCTCCACCGCGCCGCAGCCAGGCAGATAAACCAAATAGATTGTGCCTTGTTGCCAGACACATTTACATCACGCTCATACCATTCATATCAAGCTTGATCCACACAGTTACATAATAGAGGGAAGGCATTTTAAAAAACAATGCGTTCGTTTTACAGAAAGTAATGTGTCTGTAATTAATGTCGCACTGGCCTACATTTATTTCCTTGAGACTTATCATTACACTAAGTTAACCAACTTGATTTTTTGTGTTTGATGCTTTCGGAGAGATTTCCGTTTCACACAGGATGAGTAATATAAACACACACAACACATTTGAGGTTAAGAAATATGTGGGTAAAGACAAAACGAGGGGGTGGAGGAATTAAAGTTGGGCCTCTGTGTAATTCGGTGGGTTAAGCAGGTATGCCAAAAGGCTATTCCAGTAGGCAAGGATCCAATGTGGAGCATGCCACTCCCTTTGCTCTTTGTCCCCCCTTTCTTATCATAAAGAATTGTAAATGCCAAAAAATGCCAAGAAGACACTCAGGTACATCCTTTTCTTTGTGTGGTGTGGTAGACAAAAACGTGATCTTTTTATTCATTTTAAAGCTGCAGCAGTAACAGAACTAAGCAATGACGTCTACCTTTTAACAGGGCAAAGTTATAGCACAGAAACCTGAAGCTGAAACTAAAGCTCCACCCTTGTAACTGACTCAAGGTGGTAACCTCTACCAGGCTAAACATTATCAGAAAGCGTTCTTTGCCAAACTGTGTGCAAACCGAAAGTAGGTTACCACAGCAAAGCTGAACATGGCCGGTTACTAGTCTGACCGGCTTCACCTTCTTAACAAATCTAAAGAATAACCTTTTTGTGTCGTCTATTTGTCAGGCCCACGTGAAAAAGTATTCACGCCTTCATAATGTCTTAGCTTTTTGTTGCATACGAATATGACAAAGATAACTCAAATGAATTTTTAAATGATGATTTAAACGATTAAGGGTAAAAACGTATCGGCCGTGGTCGAATTCTTTCTCCAAGTCCATTCCACCACTCTTCGAGAAGATAAGGCTTTTGTGGCAGTTCTTTAGATGTTGCATCTCCCGGATGAGTCGTTGGTGCCCTCTTGGAGTAAGAGCATTTGGTAGGTTGTCTGTTTCTGTGAAGGTTCACTACTGTTCCACGTTTTCTCCATTTGCGGACAATGTCTCTCACTGTGGTTCAGTGGAGTCCCAAAGCCTTAGAAATGTCTTTGTCTCTCCAGGCTGACAAACCATTTCTTCAGATTGTGACATGATGTGTTGCTTTTTGAGATGCTTTAGCCTCCTTCGGTTTATTGGACAGGTTCTATATAAGTAGAGTCTTGATTCAACAGGCCTGGCAGTAACCAGTGAAATTGAAACTAAACCTTGGGGATTATGGGGATACTTTTTCACACGGGCCTCAATACGTTTGGATAACTTCTATTTCTTAGGAAATGATCATCATTTAAAAACAGCATTTTGGTCATCTTAATTATCACATTTGTTTCACAATCTGAAACATTTAAGTGGCTTAAATATGCAAAAAGAAATCAAAAGGGGGGCAAAAACTTTTCACAGCACTATGCTTTCTTGACAATGGCATATTTCCACCTAGAAGTCATAAATTTGCAGCTGTTGTCAGAGAGTGAGTAACCAGCTCGGGGAACCTTGGAAATAAAAAAGATATATGTGTTTGGAAGCTCACCACATCCTATTTTTAATTGGATCCAAAATCAGAATGTCAAAATGAAACTGAAAGTGAACCACACCTTAACCACCAACTCATGTCTTGGCAGGAATAAAGCCTGGAGCAGGCTTTCTGTTTCCAAATAGACCAAACTGAAAACACCAGAGGATAAATATCTGTCCCTGCCCTGTGCTGATGCCTGAATGAAAGCAGCTTTTGTTCCTGTAATCCTGGGCATTTCATATAAATGATAAATTATAGAAGGAAAAAGAAGGAAAACCAGTGAAAGTTAGAAGCATCTGAACAGAAGCTTAAATTAAACTTACCACAGTGTGACTCCATAGTGTCCTTTATGCCTGTTATTCCATCTATGTCCCAGATTGCTGTTCCATAAACATTTTCGGTGACCCCTGCCATCATGTCATCTTCCGCTGTAACTGAAGCATCTTGTGGTGCAAACGAGGGACTCAAATGTTGAAAGGTAAATTGTGCAAGTGCCGAACCTGCGCCACACTGTGTGTCCTCAGGCAGACAACACAGGTCGTCTGCAGTTTCGCCTGGCCACCACGCATCCAGGAGGCCCCCCATATTGTCTGTGACGTTGTTGTTTGAGTCTGTGGCTTCACAGGCTTCCACAGGTGATGCATTTCCTCCTTCTTCGAAAGTTTTAAAGCGATCCATGCAGATTCCAGGTGTCGCCACCTCATCATATAAAGGGTAATAGAACTCCTCAGGTGTGTCCTCAGCATCCAGCGTGAAGCTTTCGTTAAAGTTGCCAGTGCACGCATCGAGTGTCCTGCAAGCGGCTGCAAGCTCCATTTCCTCTTCCAGATCTAAAATAGCACATTGTGCTTCGCTGTATGTCACTGTGTTATCACTAGTTGTACATCCAGTTGTGTTATAATAAACTAAAGGCTGTAACATCCTCCTTCCTTTGTCCCAGTGCTGCCACAGAGGTACAGCTATCCGCCTAGCAGCCTCTTCAATCTGCTCTAACCACTCCCCCTCAATCTTCAAATTCCCCTGATTTACCCTTTCACTATCACTTACCAGCTTCTGCATTGAAGGTGCACTTGTCAGCAGTTCAGTTATTTCATCATTTAATGAAAGTCTGCCATCAAACACTGTGGGGACAGAGTAGAGCCTTTGTGTGGGGTAGTGTTCGTCCATTGCTGTCCCCTCCCTCAATTCCTGAATGAGTTTATCTCTGGAAATAACTTGATCCTCATATAGTGAGCAAGTCTCTGGCTCCAGTCTTGTGCTGTAATGATCATCCACTGATGGGACAAACTCTGATCCTGCCAGGTGGTAGTCAACGGAGGGAGACTGTGACCCACCTTTCCCTACCTTAATGAGCGGTCCATGGCTGAGATGCTGGTGGGTGCTAGATGCTCGAGAAGCAAATTCCCCATCGGTCTCATCAGATCCCGGTATAAACCCTGATTCCCCGCAAAGCAGCTCCGGCGCAAGCCCATCAATGAATTGATGCAGACCCAAGCTCTTGCTGTACGCTTCTGAGATTATCTGCTCCTCCACCAGACCCTCCAGCAGAGCTCGGATCTCAGCAGGTGAAGCCCAGGTCAGAGCCGAGCGGACTTCGTCCAGGACCTCCTCAAAATGAGCCATGACAAGAGTGTCGGCTCCCTGGGCATGGAGGACTAACAATAGAAGAAGCGTATTGGAGTTATTTGAGTTTGTTCTTTATTTTTAAAGGGACTCAGTGATTTTATCCGGGAGGCGGTCGCATGAATGGTAGGAGGTGTTATTTCCCAAAGCCAGAAATGTTATTATTGGTATCATAAGGAAGTGAAGTTACACAAGAAAAGGAATCTGATCGAAGACATTATGGCAGTCTCAAACTTTCATCATCACACATTTTGTCTTTAAACAAATTTACCCGTCTTTTTTTTTTTTTAACAGCTGGTTTAATATTTTGCCCAAATTCGATTACATGGCTGTCATGTTTCTGCTTTTTCATGTTAAGAAAGAGGCAGTGCCACACTGCACACTTTCTTCTGCACAAGTGGGCTGTTTTTCAGCTCAATCACACGCAATAGATTTTATTAAACTATTTAGTTATGATTTGGGGACTTAATCACCAAATAATCACCAAGGCTGCACATTTACCTATTTGTCCCCTTAAGCTCATAAACAGAACAAACACAAAATTCACACAGAACTCCCCCCCACATAAATGTAAAGCCTTCTCTGCAGGTCACATTGTGAATGCGAAGGTGCAGTCCTTGTGTTAACCGATACAATGTTATGCACCATACTGTGAAGTTTTTAGGCAGGGACTAAAACCGGTTTGGCAAAACTACGCATGCCTCAGTGCCATGTTTAGCATTGCTCATTTGCTTAGTAGAAATTGAGCTGCACCTTCTTTGTGTACCTGAGGAGCCAGTTTGTTGTCGTTTTAAGTAATTGGGAGTCAAATGCTCTTATTGTTTATTGGTGATAATGATTTATTTTCAAATAATGGAAGAAAAAGCAGTTTTACCAGCTTTGTCTCACCTTTCCAACCATTTCCTGGAGTGTTTTATAATGAGTAAATCTAACTTTACTCACAAGCTAAAGGTGAAGCTTTACAGGTATGCTTTACAATAAAGATAATACTCTTTTATGTATCATAACTGTGGGAAAGACATTAGCTATAAGAGTGTGGTTATGATTGTTTTGTCTGCTTGCAGGATGCAGATACAGTTTCACATGTATTTTCTGCTTAACATTGGAGGAACTACAAGTGTGGAGAGTGTAGTGCACATAAGGACACAAACACACACAGACTGTGAAACAAAAATTTCCAACCAGACTGGTCAGTACACACCTGGCAAACCTGATGCCACACCACTGATACTAAAACAATTCAAAGAGCCAAAAAAACAAAGAAATAATTTGAATACTACAACGCAAATGAAGCGTGTTTAATGAATGGATGCTGGTTTCATTTGGTCATCGGTCACATCAATAATTAGACATGAAGATTTGAACACAATTATGAAAACACCAAATACATCCAGTGGTTCAAAATTTGTAAAATGACCACATATTTATGACAGCTGAGAATGTGAAAAATCACCTAACCCTAAATGTAACTTTTGATCTCTGATGCTCGGTTTGAATTGCAAAAGTTTAACTTTGAACATTTTTCAATAAAAAAAAAAAAAAAAATCTTCCTGGAGTTCGATGCCAGCGTTGCCACACAGGTATGAAAGTGTATGTACAATTTCAAAATAATTCCAGAAATCTGCAAGTGTACTTCTTTAAAAAGTAAAAAACTGTTTGGTTTAGCTGTTCTGTACCTTTAAGCAGCCCCTGCACCGTCATCTGCAAATTAGTAATGCACACATATTGTTAAAATTGCACTCTCTCTTCAGAAATGCAAGAAAATGATTTGAAATCAGCATATTAAAAAATAACAACAATGTGCTTTACTACTTTTTTTTTCCAGCTTTTAATTTGTTTTCAGCAAATTCGGGTATAATTTCAATTATGTTTTCAGAACCTACCTGTACTTCTTTATACTTCAAAAACAGGAAGTATTTGGAGGGGATAATATAAACAATCTGCTCATTTGAAATGCAGAAGCACCGATATTAATGACGAACTAAAATCCAAGTTATTTTTTTTCCTTTGTTGGCAGCTTAATCTGCACTTTGATCACAGTAACCTGATGACATAAAGAGTTTAAACACAACAAAAAAACAAAAACAAATTGCGGACCTCCTCTTAACACAAAACATTACCACACCAGCTCAGGCACTGTGGAATATTCTTATATTCCTTTTCATCTACTGAGGGGATTGACATAATGTACACAAAAGCACCTGAAGCAAATGACTCACTCTAAGCAAATACAAGCTTAATGATGCTGTAGGAAAAAAATGGATCCTACAAACGGTATTGTCAGTACAGGCAAAGAGTTTTCTGCTGCATATTTTTCCTTTTTGCCACTGAGCTTCATTCATTCCACCAAAACTAATAAAAAAACCCATGCAAACGCCAAAAATTGACATCTTGCATGGCCGGGCCTTTACTACCATTAACAGTTTTACTACCGTTCGTCTAACCTGCAGCTGGCAAACAGCCCACGACAAATGTGCTGGTAGTTAAAACTACAGTGCTCAAAATGATATTGCTTTCCTTCAAAACAAACAAAGAAACATACATTTGTAAATCATTGTAAACCCTGACAGCCTCATAAAGATCATTCCATAATGAGTGCATTCATATTCAAAACGGGCACAGGTGCTTATTTGGATGATGACTTTATTTGTTTTATGAAATGGGAAGTAATTTCAGTTTCTACAGACTCTTATTATGTATTCATTTCATTTGCTCTCAGTAGTTCTTCAGGAAATACTGCTCTGGCACGGCAGCATCTGATCAATGCATGAAATCTATCACTGAAAACAAAGAATGATAAGATTTCTCTGACTGTCTAACAGAAATGCTGCGATTCTGATATGTACGAGCTCTTGTGCTCTTCGTGTGCCTCGTATTCGGTGCCCGTCTGCCGTCATGTGATCTGCCACGGTGTTCTGCTCCTGTATGGATGCCATCTGATGTGGTCAGATTGTGCTTTGCTCCTCTGTTACCCTGTTGGAGCAGTAATCCTGGACGGCTTTGGGGGAAAGAGAAAGAGGAGAGAAGAGAACGATGATAAAGGAGATTTGATGAAGCTGATAAATAAATGTGCGTCAATTGATGGTTTCAGTTAGGAGTGAATCAGCTGCTACGCAAACCACATTAGACTCCACAAACTTGATCTCATGCTTTAAGCATAATTGAATTTCGATACAACTCCTACTGTTCCTCTTTTGATTGGCTGCTTCCCATTTATACAGCGACCGCTTCCTCTTTCATTGTTTAATCAGGAATTGAGCCGTCAGCTAAATGATCCAGTCATCAAAACCGGCGGGGGTCTTCACTGGAAGGAGGAATACGCCTGACTGCGCATCTAACTTCCTTCTTAAGAAAAATGAAAACTATGACGTATGAGGTGCCAAAGGGTTTGTTTATAATGTGCAAATAAAGGGGTGGGAGTCATAAAATGCAGAACTCTATACTTGGCACATCTCCTGGATCCCTGCTCTGACTATCTGACCACTGTGTGCATTTACAGCTGAGAGAAAACAACATGACAGCTCTACAGTAACATCCTGAGCGGTGGGGATAGTGTTGACATTGCTGCAAGTGAGCTGAGAGGATTTCTTTTTGGTTCTTGTTGTTTTGGCAACAGTTTCACACCATCTTCCCATTCACCAGTTTTGGCATCCTGTGACTTCGCCCACTTCTCAAAACCTCTATTCTATTTGCAGGATTGCCAGCTGATGGTCAGAAGGGGATTTCCAGGCAAGTCCAGCTGACCTTGACGGCTACACTTAAGTCACACAAGATTTGTTTTGGCCTTTTATGGTTACTGATTGTACGATGCTCATTTGTGTGGGTGTCTTTCTAAAAACAAACTCACTTTTCACAATTTTCTGGTAGGCTTCCGCAGCGGGGGAGTCGGGCACCTCGCTCAGGAAAGACCTGCCCTCGTCACAGCTCCGTGCTATCCTGGGATCTAGAGGCACCTTTCCTAGGAGGGGTAGTTTGAGGTCTGCACACATTTTCTCAGCTCCCCCGGTTGAGGGAGGGAAGATCTGTGACGTATTCTACAAGGAAGAGTTTAAAGAAAAAAAATATGCATATATCAGCTAGGTACTTTCTTAATCTACACACGAGGAATTTGGGATTGATTAACTGTGTAAACACGACATTTTTCCACTGGGAATTCTAGCTCGAAGCTCAGGCCGTAACCCGGAAAACTAAAACACGCTGCACAGAGAGAGATCAGATTTAAAAGAGTTGCTTAAATGGCATCTCCCACTCTCCCACATTTTCTTGAAAGTGTGGTGATTTCACTGTTTAGTAATAGGACAGGACATTGTGGTCCTGTTATATCATCTCCCCTCCCAAAAATAAAATGTCAGATGTTGAATAGAAAGGAAACGGCATAAGGCCCTCCCTTAAAGGGATGTAAGAGCCTCAGGAAATTAAATCTAAAAGGAAAAAACACAAGACATAAAAATGTAGAGAAACAGAACTTTGTTGATTTGATTTTGTGCAAGGTGAGCTTGCTTGTGGTTGTGAAAATGAGTGCACTGTATCCTGTTCAGTGTATCTGCAGTATATCTGCACAGGATAGCAGACGAAGCCTCCTCACAACCTGGTTTTTTTTGTAATGAGCTAAAATAGCACAGATGCGAGCACATATTTCAGACCTCTTTGCTTCGTTCCTCTTTTCTGTGTGCTCCACTTCTTTACTTACCAGAACTAATCAAGCGTATGCTCGCAGTGCTTGTATACATTTCTCACCAGATTAGATCAGATTTGTAATTTTTTTTTGTCAATGTGGTTCTTGTTTTTGCTCAATTATCTTATCCAAAAAAACAAAACAAAAGACAAAAAAAGATGTAAAATGAACAGAGACATGGATCTGGTGCATTTTTAGCTTATCTGTGTTTTGCACAGGTGTGTGTGTGAGAGTGACCTTGCATTTAGGGCAGACAAAGCCGCTCATGTTCTCCACCACCCCGATGATCGGCATCTTAACCTTCTGACAGAATCGGATCTCCTTTCGCACGTCCTGCAACGACACCTCCTAGACAGACGTGGAAACAGGAACCACAGAAAGAGAAAGGCAAAAGCGAGGGCTGAAGTTTGTGTGTATGTGTGGGTGGAGATGGGGAGCATACGGTGGACAGGGAGGGGCACACACACACACACACACACTAGTCTGGCTTGTTTGTTTGGTAATTCCCACCGGGTGTGTGTGGTCGGTCGTGGGTTAGTGAGATCAGGCGGAATGAGGAAGTGTGTCTGTTGCTTTCTGACTTCACCGCACTGAGCTTAATCTAAGAAGCAGGAAATTGGTGCTTCACTTCACCAAGTACAATAAGAACTTTGACACAACTTATAGTGAGGTCTTCTTAACTGAGCACATGTAGGGTAAGCCACATTTATTGACAAGGCGCTAAATGTTCGCCACACTAAGAATCGTCAGCAGGAAACATGACTGACAGAACTAGTACGGCTGCTGGATCACAGTCGTTTTACTGTCTGCATGCAGGACAACATTGGGTTAACCTCCAAGTATTTGTGTGTAAATATCATGATGCCCTGCTGGCAGACATGTTGCTGCCCGTTCAGCAAAAACACCACCCTGTGCCTATCCTGTCTGTGGCTTTATCACACCAAAATCACCTTTACAAACCAGGTAACAAAAGCATGTGATGTCAGCAGGTGAAGCAAAACGCTTGTGTGCCGAGTTGACTTCCTATTAAATACAAAAATTTATAGGAAGCACGCCGTGGAAGACAACAATAGAACACTCTGAATTTATTTTTGTTCTGCACAGCTCTGTAGCATGCCATTTCTTTAACAGTTTGTTGTCTACAAACATGCCTGTAAAAAACCTGTATAACATTTTACTGTGCGATGGGCTCTCGCTTTTCTTTTTACGATGGTTTCATGATGGAACAGCATCCTCTGTTGGTTGTGGTATGCTAAAAGCATCTCAAAAGCAATTCATCTTCATTGACACTCGGCCACAGCGCCATGATTATGACCATGTGGAATTGCTTTATTGCCAACAGTAACAGCACCTGCACAGCAAATGTATTTGTCCCATATAATCCAACCTATTAAAACCTGTCATATCATATTTTTAAAACACTATTTTTGTGCATTAACGTGTGCATTCTAAGACAACCATGAGTGCGAGTGGATTCGCTGTAAAGCCCTTACTCTGGATGATCCACGGACTTGTGCATTTGCTGGTGCAAAATTCAAATTTCATCTGTGTTTACGTTTCATAGTGGGCTGAAAAAGCAGGGGTCTCAAGGACATCCTAAACATGTCAGTATATTGTAAAGCCATAAAGGGGCAGCACCACCAATTCCACAAACCAGCAGCAGCATTAGTCATAACAGAAGGCAGCTGCATACGGCAAGATGCAACGAGCTGAGTTTTTTTTTTGTGGTAAGCCAGTTGCCTACCTGTGGTTTTCAGAGTCAATACTACATGACTGAAATGACTCAACTTGTATACAGAAGTTCAGGTTGTTAAAATCATTTGGGGGGAATTTAGGGAATCACCAAGCGAAGTCCGTTGGACTGAAAGCAGACATATCTGCAGGTCAAATTTCAATTTAAGGCTGATAGCAGGTAGTTTTCATAAGTATTTGAATACATGTTTATAGATTATTCTTTTTAAAGCTGCAATTGTTAACGTAAAATAGCTGAGCTAAAACTGAGTAAGTTTTTAATAACACTGAAACCTCTGAGTGAGAGTTAGAGAGCTTTTAGGACACACAGCTTGAGCTATGCAGCTAAACGTCGGGCTGCTAAACGTCGGGCTGCTAAAGTTTCAGTTTCAAATGAGCTCACAGACGGTTCAGAGTTAACTGAAAGATGCTGAAGTTTAGCTGCAGGTGTGTGTGCGAGCATTAAGGGGGTATCTTGAAATATAATGACTGGAATTTCCTTGTCTGGTTGTCTTTCTAAGAACTATAACTGACAGCATATTCAAACAAAAATGAGCTTTTCATAAAGTCGGAGGTTTCTTCCTGTGAAAAAGGAGCTTATCATTCCCGTTGTCGCCAAGTGCTCACTCACATGGGGTCGTTTGATTATTGGGGTTTCTTTCAATAACATCGTTGAGATTTATAGAAATAAAACTGAACTGAATTTCCCCCAAACTGCAAATATAACGGTGTACAGAAAGAGTTGAACGCGCACGGGCAGAAATGTTGAGAGCGCAAGCAACACATTGCGAGCAAGCGCAAATGCAAAAAACTGAGCGAGAGGGGCTGTTATTGTGTGTGTGTGTGTGTGTGTGTGTGTGTGTATATAATAGCAAACACTGAAATACATTTTCGCACGCAGCTATGAATTTTGCTGAAATTCAATGAATTACTCCTCAAAATGCAACACTTGCGCTCAATTTTTTTTTTAACGTGCGCTCAGAATAGTGGCACAAAAGTAACGCCATACTCTAAGCCCTGGATAGCTGAAGTTTTAGCCACGTCGCCTTTGTTATTTCCATGTTCAGCTGGGTGAAAGGGCTTTAAGCATCTGATTAGCATTAGGTTACAAATGTTTTCATGGTGGTCATCCTGGAGTTTGTGTGTCTTCATTGAGCATGACTGCCTATGTGTGAAAACAGACATGAACATGAAACCCAGCGGCTCATAACTGGACATGTATGAGGATGATTGGCTGCTCATCAGTCAAACAACATCTGAGAATGTTTTAAAACCCTAGATTGCACCACAGCAGCGTTTTCAAAGGTTATTGACTTTAAAAAGCCCCCATAGAGCACTTCATATACTAACGTAAACCTGCTCACACTAAAGCCGAGACTTGTACCTGTGGTGTGGTGATGATGATGGCTCCATCAACATGGGTGGCGCTTAGGTACTGGACGATGGACAGGTGTTCGTCAGAGGTGCCGGGTGGAGTGTCTACGATGAGGTAATCCAGTTCCCCCCAGTCCACATCCCTTAAAAACTGCTTAATGATCCCTGATTGGACACAAGCACCACACAGGTTGTTGCTATGTGAGATCTGGAAACATGAGCATCTCACATACACACATCACATTACCGCACCATTTTTCTTGGGTCCTCTCCAGATCACAGCATCATCGGGACTACTTAGCAGGAAGCCAATAGACATGACTGCCAGGTTGTCCTCCACATACTGCAACACAACGCAGAGGCCCCTGTTTTATTATGCTTAAATAAGGAAAATAATTTAAAAAAATAAATAAATCGTTCAAATCAGCTCACCACAGGGGACCATCCAGAGCCACTCTGGTGAACCTACACAGGAGACGACAGAAAGACAGCTCAATCTTTGTGTCCATGTGAGATTATGATTAAAATGTTGCACCAATAGATATAACAGCCGTTTCTGACAGCTGCCTACTGACTTACTTGCTCTCCCTCTAAACCCATGATCCTTGGAATGGATGGACCACAGATGTCTACATCAAGCAGGGCAATCTAAAAAAAGGAAAAAGAAAGTGGAAGCATGAAAAGTCGGCAGTCCAGTATAATGAAGGCACATCAAAACAATGGGGCTGTATCCCAGCACTAGGAGCCATCCTAAAGCATTGCTTTTTCAGCATTTTCTCTGAGGAACTGCTAAAACTTTGGGAAGTGGAATGTTTTGCGTGGGAGTGTCCAGTTGATCCCCTTACTATGGATGACATCATTGTGAATGAACCTTTGTACTCCAGTGGTTTATGGGTAACAGTCAAAGATAAAAACTCCTGCTAAGTCTAACATGAGATTTTCTTTCAACTAAGAAATAATGATTTACGCAAACTACACTAAGTTTTCATATGTCACATTCACCTATATTCAGCCTAAGAAACAACTTTATGTAATACAGTGGTCCCTCGCTATAACGCGATCCCTTTACCTTTCGCAGCCTCGCTGTTTCGCAGATTTGCTTTGTGCAATTTTGCATGCTTCTCCCCCCAGCGAATTATGTTCTGTGTCCTGATTGGCTGTAGCCATTGTCACTCAATCTCATGCCGCGTCTCCTCTACAGTATAGAATGGGTTCAGCTTGTCAAATTTACATAAATCTTTGATCGCTAGCAGTGTGACTCTGAAGTGCTGCACTGTATGTAAGTTTTCTCCCCAACAAACACAACAGTGTCGACGAAACGTTTTGCACCGTCAAAGGCAACCGCGGGTGCCTTTGGTTTCATTCTATAATACTGAAGTTAGCTCTCTACCGAGGTTTGAAAGTGTTTAAACAAGAGAGAAAAGTGTGAAAATCATGCCATCAAGTACATTCAGGTCTGACGAGCAGGTTTTTGGTTTGATCATTAATTCTGGCGAACTGCACAGATATTGCAAATTCATCAAAGTATTTTAAGCCGTGCAGATTTAAGGAAAGCGACATCTCTGGTATGACTGGATTGCCAGTTTGACACTAACAAAGTGTTTTTAACAGAATATTTTAAAAGAAGACAGTGGTGTACATCTTACGGAAGAAAGATGAGGACAGACTTCTTAATGCAAATTAGAAAATTCTAGAAAAATGCCCTGACAGATGTCTAAAAAACTGATTCTCCCACACATACCTCCGGGTGAGACAGCAATAGTCAATATGAGATACTTTTTTTTTTTTAAAGAAATGTACATAAACTTAACAATATATACAATGATTTCTATTGAGATGCCTCTGATGCAGGACCGGAGCCTGACTTTCATTAAATTTAAAGTGCTGTTGAGCACTTTGCCATCAGAGGCTAAGATATTACCGCCGATATTAGAAACTTTACTCTGAAAACAACGAGGAAACTTTACTTTAAGAGCAAAGAAGAAATTTGTTAGATTTAGTTCTTCAGGCTTCCTGAAGTCTTTCACAGTTTTATCTTTGGACACTGGCTGCTTTTTCACTAATCTTCACTCCCGCCCTTCTCCCTGATCCCTCTCAGAGGAATGTGTTTTTGGTTTGTTCAGCCACTTAACACTGACCTATGAATCATTCAAGCATATTTTATCTTTATGCACTTTCTTATTAGGGGCCTGTCACAAAAACACATGATTTGTTCCCATTACTTTAGTTGAATCCACAAAAAATCCCCAAAACAAACATGAGACAGTTTGACAGGAATAAAATAGGATTTTTGCACCAACATGGTGATTCACAAATAAATCCAGCAACGGCCTGACACAGGACCCAAGATATGAATCTGCCCCTCCAGTTTATCCATCTACGGTTCATTGAAGGCTCATCATGGTTTCAGTGAAACGGTGGCGGTCAAGAAGCTACTCTTTGGAAATGAGCTTGTGGCAGTAATTTGATAAGAATGAGAGATACTGTTAGATAAACTAGGACAAGAGGCTAACATACTACCTCCAATATTAAAAACTTTACTGTGGGGGAAAAAAACAACTCAACTCTTCCAGAGTAAAGAAGAAATTTGTTAGATTTAGAAAGTGGAAATGTTCAATAGTTTATCGGTGGACACGAATAAAAAGAAGCAGAATTATGCTGAATATTGTTAATAAGTTGTGAGATGTAGGATTGTCTGCTTCATTTTAGTTCGTTGCTGCAATAATGAAGTGAATTCTTATAGATTTCAAAGTCAGTTTATGATGATTTATGATTTTCTCTCTCAGCTCATTTGAGAAACGGCATCAGAAAAGTTGTCCAGCACTTCATCTCACGCGGGAGACAGAGCAGGAGATATGGAATTAAAAACTCAGATAACTGATGCAGATTTACAGCTGAAAATGTTTTTATATAAAACAGCGATCCCACCACCTGCCTGTTTGTACAGGTCCAATAAAACTACTGGTGGCGGACAGTGGTACCCCTCAGCCTCCTAGCAGATACATCTGTGGTGCCAGTTTTAAAATCTTAGTTGACGTCCTTCTTGAGTTATCACACATGGGCGTCCATGTCGCCGTCCGGCAGGAAGCCAGCAATGATCCCATCAGCCTTTTATGGCTGCAAGTTAATAAAACCTTTAATGACTGGGTAATGCTTTAATGAGCCCTGTGTTAGCCGTGTCACCAAGACAGGTGTCAGTAATAATGCCAATAATAATAAATATTTGTACATCAAGGGATGTGTGCAGTAAATTATAGGTAGTGATGGAGGCAATGAGATAAGGTGGGTTTAATGTGTGAAAGAGTGCTGCATCTGTAAGGTTTGCTTACTGGCTTGCTGCTGGTGTCAGTTCTGTTATTAATAATTATAATAATAATTCCACTGCATTCCACTGTTAATAACAGGTTGTGATTATGTGATTAACATTGTATAATACTATCGGAAAAAAGTGAAACGAAAAACAGCAGCTGAGCAAAATTTATCAGCCTGGGACTGAGAGCTGTCCTGCTCATGTCAACAATCGAGTGTCAAGTTCGCTGCTTACAGCAAACATACATGTAGCACTCACTCTGCAACTGATGCAAGACAAATAAAAACATTAATTTGATTAACATTAATTAAACACTGTTGCCATGTTCAACTTGAAACTGTGAAAGCTACACAACAAACTGGCGTATAAAGAGATATATCTCACAGAAAAACTGCAGGAGACATAGACTAATAACCTGAGGCATCTAACTCCATCCTACTGGTTAATATAATCTATCATTGTTTTGAATGGAACTAATAAATTTCTTCCTTGATTAAGCTGTGGCTTCTTTTAGAGTGATAGCACTGTGTTCCTTGTTATCGCTGGGTTTCAATGATCGATTTTCCAATTCAAATCAATTTTAGCTTGAATAAAGCGATATTGATTTAAACCCTGAATTGATTTTTAAATATAAATGTATTTTGCCAGAAACGCCAGAATCTCAGGTTAAAGCTAAAACAGCAAATGCGAGCAGGTAAACAGATTCCACACAAAGCTCCACACAGTGAGTTGTCGGCTTTCTCACCCGACAGCACGGACACGGACACACCGTCGGTGCTGATAGCTCACAGCTCACTGATTATAAAGCTGCAGGTTTTGTCTCTCTCAGACCAAAATTCACTGAAGCAGCAGCAAAAGAAGATCCTTCTTACTATTGCTGTTTTTCTTCCACCACGATAAAAATCACACTTCCCGCACAGCTCTTTCTCTCTCTCAGTGTACTTCAAGAACAGCTTCCCATCTCAAATATCTGTTTTCTGCATTATTTGCTTGCTTATTACGCACAAGTCTACCGTTGTGTACAGCGTGTCGGCGACAAGAAAGCCTCATTTCTTCTGTTCAATACCGAAGAAATTTAAACTTTTTAAAATTATACCAAATTGCAAAATGTTTAGCTGTGTCTCTAATAAAACCTCTGTAACTTTGCTCTGCTTCACTTCAGCAGCATCAGGTATGTTGATTCATGTTTTTTTCAGCTTATTATCTATTACAGAATATTTTTAATGTTTTTAAATTAATTTAATCATCTGCTATAAAAAGCCAGGCCAGGAACACCTTCATGTTTTTCTGTGCTTTATCCCCAGTTACTTTGACACAAAGGAATCTGCTGTGATGCTCACACCTCTGATGAAGTCTCACAAAAGTCAATACTGATAAATGATCAGAATTAAAATATTTCTGACTGTCTGAGGCAAAATTTCCCAGATTCAAATCGAATCGGGACCCTGTGAATCCGAATCAAACCGATTATAGAAATCAGTGACGACCCACAGCCATGTTCCTTGTGTAACACAATTTACTTTCAGAATTCAAATATATTGTTACTCTATGTCTGCAGTGACCTCTAGTGGTCAGTGTATTTTATGAGAGCATCAGGATTTACACACACTAGCTACTTTGGACACCACTTGTTAATCCAAATCTGTAAATATAATAGCCAATCACACGGCAGCATTTAGTCAATGCAACCTACTGAATTTCAAACAAGCGGCAGTTCTCTGAGTGAAAATGCTTGTTGAGGTCAGAGGTAGAAGGAGAACCGACCGACCACGCTAACAGGAAGGGAACAGTAACAAAAATAACCACTCATTAACCACTCGTTGTGGGTGGCTGTAGCTCAGGCGGTAGAAATCATCTCAAACTCGATTCTTGAACATGACAATTACTGAGATTCTGTATTACCTCCTTTGTGGTGTCACTTGCCAGAGCGTGAGCCAAGTGAGCGCTAAAGGTGCTCTTCCCCACACCTCCTTTTCCAGACAACACGAGGATCTTGTGTTTGACTGTTGACAGCTTCTCTCCTATCTCTGCTATAGCTGCAGACACACGGGAACGAGATGTTTTAAGCTCTTAACTAATCCCCTAATGTATCTGCTGAAGCCCAAATATGTATCAAAATATTAAAGTGATGAGATAATAGCACACGGTCTTACCAGGGTCAGGGGCTTTTGTGGCTCCAGAGGCACAGAGTTCCTGGTTGGGACAGCCCTGGCATGGTGCAGACTTGCCAGCTTGCTCACTTGTTGTACCCGGACAGTCTAACAAGGATAAAACAGAATCCAGTCATCAAGATCTGAGCACCTTAAAGAGACCTAAATATCCTAGATCTGCTTCGAGTGGTTGTCGTTAAAATAAAATGTGGTTGAACAAAATATCTAGAATCTCTGCAAAGTCTGATTGGCGCTTGACTGTCTTTAATATTCTTTCAAAAATGCTTTCAAACAGATGTCATCATAACTTTGAGATTTTAATGATTTCTTTGAACTGTTCCTTTTCCACGGTGGGACAATTGTACAGCACACATCTGCCTTTAGAAACAATAACTAATTGCACAATTTTGAATTTATTTTGGATTTTTCTTTAATCCATACAGGGTCAGAAATACATATAGCATCAAATATATACACACACACATTCATTTTAATGTTTTATAGATGATGCTTAACCTCCTAGGACCTGGCATCCACATATGTGGACATCGCATTTTGGGTAATTTAGACTAAAATACTCAATTTTGCTCTACATGGGCCTGATATCCACTTACGAGGACATTATACTGCTACTGTTCTATGAAAATTTTAAACGAATATCCTCATATGTGGCTCTTATTTTTCTTAAAAACAAAAATAAGGTTAAAAAAAAATCTGGTAATTCTTCGTTTTTACATTCATCGGGCCCCAATATGACCAAATATCAAAGAGAAATTAAAAATGCATACTGTGGAAGAGTTCGGGTCTTAGGAGGTTAAGGTTCTACACTGTCTTTTAACTTGACGAGGCCAAGGCCTGTTAACTCATTAGTGATCACGATTGACTAAAACTAGTAGTTTGTTGTTGCTTGCATAAAAATGATTTTGACAGCATTCAGTAGACTGACCAACACTCAGAACAATGGGAAAGTCCCAGGAACTCAGTGAAGACCTAATAAGGAGAATTTTAAATCTACACATATTGAGAAGGTCTCTTGGAGCCATTTCTAAACAGCTGCAGCTTCCAAGATCTCAGTTTAAAGAATTCTATGTAATTGCCAATTTTGCCAATATCTGAAAAAAATACCCAAAACCGTGACCCTCAGGTGAGAAATTGGTTCAGATGTTCAGGAACAATGCAGGAACTAAGGGTCAAGTCTGCCGTAAAGTGGAAACTGCTAAAACACCAACATCACTATTCACAGTAAAGCGAGTTTTAATGTGAGGGTGCCAACTAAGAAAGAAGTCCCTGCTCCAAAATCCACACCTTCAAACTTGACTGAAATTTATGAAGCGGACAAAATTATGAAGAAGGAGGATTACCTCCCAAGTCTTCAACTTCACCTTACGTCAGCAGCTAATCTGGTAGCAGTTGGGTGTTCTAACAGGACAATGAAGCCAAACACACAAACTGGTTTTGGAATGGATAAAACAGACTAATATTAAGTCTTCCCGAAGCCCGAACCTCAACCCTACTGAAAATTACTACTTTAAAAGCCAGGTCAAACAAATTTAAATGCTCTCTAGCAATCCTGCCCAGAAGAGCGGTCAAATATCCAGAAAGATTTGTTCTAGAAGATTCTTGATGGGTACCTTATTACATCTAGTTTTGCTAAGGGATCGTGTAATACCAAAAGAAAAGCTGCTCTCATGCGAGGGTCCCTTAAAATCATTTATATACAGCTTAATATAACATTCAGCCAAGAGATTACTAAAATGACTTTATTAAAACTTATTCACATAATAAATTATACAACTGCGTAGAAGACTGTCATCATGACTCAGCAAAACTGGAAGACGTACTGCGATACCTGTTCAAATTCCCTTGTGTGGATATTATGCGCATTTTGACCACAGCAATAAAAACAAACAAACAAACATTTTAGTGATACATCAAACGATTTCTGATAAGCTTCTAAATAAGCATCATCTTCAACTTTCCGAATATCCCGAATTCAACGTGTAATAAATTCATTAAATTAAATTACAACACCTTGAAAATTAATTTATCTAAAACATCCTTATTAATGTCCTTTCAAACACAGACTCAAAGCTATTAATGTTGATAATTCCAACAGAGAGGAACAACCGCCATGTGTTTAACAATCACCGCGACCTTACAGTTAAAAGTAAATTCCCTACATCCACACACAACTTGAACAACATGACTGAGGTATTAAAACTGAAGAAAAGTAAGTTTAAAGGCTTACGCTCTGGAACATTTTCTGGTACGTCTGCCATGTTTGCAAGGTGTCCTCCAATTAAAGTCTTCCCCTCCAAACGTTCCGGATACGCAACGTGAAACGTCGATTCTATTCTTCTTGTACAGTTTTAAACAGTTGTATCGAGGGACTGTGACAACAGCACTCAATGTACTCAATACAGTACTGAGCACAACAATAAATATGGAAATAAACAAATAACTCCATACATACATACATACATACATACATACATACATACATACATACATACATACATACATACATACATACATACATACATAAACAATAGATATATCATTTGTACCGGTCTTGTGAATACAAACACTCAGGATCGGTTTGAGGAATTTTTCCTTACATACATCAGCTTGTGAGGCTTTATTTCGAGCATGTTACAATCGTAAAGCAGCTAGATAAAAACTAAAACAAAACAAAAACATAAGAAAGGAAAAAAGGAAAAGGATAGGACATAAGGAAATTATAACAAGAAAACATGATACATTAAAGAAGCAGGAAGAAGCATATTCTTATTTTATCCAGTATTCTCCACTATTTGTTATTAATTATGATCACTGTTACTTCCTGTTTATATCCTGTTTATATCCTGTCCAAATCCCGCGAAAAGCAACAACAAGACACTGGCCACTAGAGATCACTGTAGACATAGTATAACAATTGCAAATTCTAAAACTACTACTGTAACCGGTCACAAGATTTTCAAAAAAACCTTGAGGTCAAGGTCACTGAGATTTGAACTCGTCTAAGATTTTTAGTGAAGGCACCTCTGATATCAATCTGAAAATCCTATGGTGTGCTGTCGAATTCAAAAGACTTTCAGAAAACCTGATCTCTGACTTTGACCTTGAGGTTGAGGTCACCAGGGTTAAAACTCATCCGCGATTTTTAGTAGATACACCTGTGATATCAGTCAACTTAGGTGTCCACGCTGCCCGCCTGCCAACAGGCAGATAACAATACTGATGAGGTAAAAAGTTTCACCGTTACACAATGAAGACAACCCTATCGCTCTTAAAGATGCCACAGCTGCATCAAGGAGGAAATTAATTTGTTAAATTTTATTCACAAAGATGTTAGATTACACTAATCAGTAATAGGATAGAGTTAGATAGCCTCAGGTTATTAACCAATGTCGACTGCAATTTGTCTGTGAGATAAACTTTGAGGACAATTTGTGATTGTTTGAGTAATTCTTTGTTGTAACAAAGACATATTAGCATTTTAACAATTTATTCATTAAGCAAACAGGGGTCTCGGTGAGACCCAGGGAAAAAAAAGTATTTTGATTTTTCCATATAAATCAAGTGTTGGGTTGGTAAAAGACACATTGCAAAAACAATTTTGTTTTTAACTAATTTTATTAAAATTTTACAACATGTGCACTACAGTGCACAAGGGGAGTTCATTGATCACAAATGTGAAACTAACAAAATTCAATCCTTTTCTTGATTTCTAGATAGAACTCTTCATCACTGGTATTATTCAGGTCTTGTTCATATATTTGTCCCTTGTTTATCAGTTCCTCAGCCAAGAGGCGCTTGAACTCCAGATATTGGGAGTTCTTTTGAGCTTGTTGCATGTCCTCGCTATCTTGTTGGTACTGAAACCAGGAGTTGGTGATGACCAAATCAATGAAATAACGTGTGGTGCGAACAGTCCACTTTTTGGTCCAACTAGATATTCTGTAGAAGCTGAGCATGTGATCAGATAGGTCAACCCCTCCCATGTCGATATTATATTTGCAACCACTGCAGGTCTTGCGACTTGTGAATTGGGACAGCCAGTGAATGGAACGATCTGTTCATCATACAGACCTTTGTTGGCCTGGGCAGATTGAGGCAACCTAAAGGACTCTCTTTAGAAGTGGTCTGACTTTCCCCAGGAGATCCTTTTGTTTTTCTCATTTTCTGGCAGATCATCGACTACTTTCAGCGAAGACCTGATCTTGTAGAAATGACCACATGTCATGGACTCAGCTATAACTGCGTACATTTTAATTCTCGGATATCCAAGGCATGCAATGTACACTGAGATTCCTAAAAAGCTATTGATTTCTTCTGGTGTTGTGTTTAAACTACACCCTGAATCCTGTACCATACGCTGGTTGGTCAACAAGGACAAGTCCTGAATTAGTTTTTTGTCAATGTACTGCTGGAAATACTGCTGTGGGCTCCAATCATTAAGTGTCATTAGGGTACCATCATCTCCAATTCTGCATTCTTCCAACAAAGGCATAAACCTAAGATAATGGAAAATTATTTAGCAAAATAAAATTTAGATACTCCAATATCCGATATAGTTCACTTGCAACACATTTACACTATCTTTATAAGTTAAATCAATTTACTGGAAATCATTTCTGCACGTTACCCATACTTTTTTCACTCAAAATAAAAAATTCCTGATTCTCCTACATGCTGGTTTTGTACCAGATAGGATGACGGCAGATTTCAGCTGACCCTGTGTCGTTCTCCAGCACACCCTGCATCTTGATAATCTTTGTCTGGCTCTCTCTGGGTTTTCACCCTCTCCTATCTGGCTCATATGACTCTCATCTTCTGAAAGATCTATGTCTGAATCTCCCTCAATGATTGTGTTAAGAATTCTTTCTGCCTCTGTCAAAGAGTTGTCTACTAGAAAAAAGTGAAATAAATTTAAGTACAAAGTCCTGACGTGCACCAGAGTACACATTAATAAATTAGTCATTTTCTCCGTGAAACTAAATAAAGTTAGGTCTGAAAACCCCCTCAAATTACTTACTAGATGTTTATTTTTGAAAATTAATCAAAATCTGAGTTTAAAAAAATATCTTAAATGTAGATATCATGCTTACATGTCTTTCTTCCATAAAATGTGCTTGTGGGCATGCCAGCCATTTTGAAAGGTAGGAAAAAGAGAGTTGGGAAGGCCACACCCCCACACATGTGACATCATTTTAAAGGTGCTGTTGACCTCTCTAAGAAACATCAGGACTCAACAGAGTGGCATGTAGAGTGTGAGTGATACAAGCAAAAACTAAATGTGTACTACAGTGCACAAAAATGAATTACTGGGTCTCAGGAGGATGTGGATATGATGGCCTTTCACACAGATGTGTTACAGAAGAAAATAACTTTTGATAATGACTTTTTCTATCCATGGATGGGAATTGTATCACTAGAAGCTAACAGAGACACATGCTGTGGTAACGGTGGACCTAATGTAGTTAAAATTTTAATTAATGCGTTATCTTATAATGTAAGATAATATAATGTTATAAAAGTGGTGATAATGCCATATTTCTATGAAAATATACACAGTACACGGAGAAAAAACCTAATGGACTGTTCTAAAACAACTTGTGTGTCCACCAGGGAGCGTTGTTGTTTTAATTATGCTCCAACGTGTGCAGGGTGGGGGTGTGGGGTATAAATTTTCAGGTTTAGAAGTCTTGAATTGAAGTTGCAGGTGTGTGCAATTAATTTCTCGTAAGGGGATATGTGAGAATCATGGACTGTTGTGGAGGGCCGGAACAACAAGAGATTAAGAAAATTAAAATTGAGCAGAACTCCGTTCAACTTATTGTGTCTCTCATGTGACCCCTTGAGAAAATGAATTTCCCACTCCTGATTCATAGTGTATTGTAATAGCTTCCCATATCGATCCTGGAAGGAAACACCAATCCCTTTAAGGTTGCACCAGGAAGGAAAATCTGCCAAATCAAACATAGCAAAGCCAACAGTAGCCACTACTGAAGTCAAAATATTTCTGACCAACCGTGTCGTAATCCTGTACAATTAAAGCTGCTTTTTATGGAATTTCCATCTCACTGTTTTCATTGTAATGACAATAAATTTGGGTACATGACTAATAATATATTGAGAAGTCCAGTGACTCAGGAGGACTGTAGAATTCAGTGACTGTAACCTCAACAATACAGCTAGTGTTCATCTTCAAATAGACCAAAATGACAAATCACAAACATTTACTTTGAAATCTTTACTTTTAAACTGCAGATTTAAAATATAAACCCTTTTTCCTCTTCTCATTGTTCACGTGTATTACACACCACATTAAGTGGGTCTTCACAGTTCGCAGCTGTTTGTGTTCAAACACATTTAAACTTTATGAACAAGGCTGCCTTATTGGCTCTCTGGTATCATAGGAAAAGGTGATTGTTTGCGAGAGTATCATTTGTCTGCCTTTGTAACCGCGAAACAAAAGACATATGTTGTTTGCTCCAGTATGTGCATGTGTCCTTGGATATAATGTCTTAAAAGCCAAAGTAGTCTAATAGCATTACCTAGTACTGTTATAGTAAACACTCATTCACATTTCTAAGGTTCGAACCTGTGTGTCTGTGTGATTTTTCAGTGTATGCGCCTTCCCCTCCTCCAACTGTTTGCAGTGTTCAGACTTTGTAATGTGATATTTTCTTTGTGTTGGCCCTCCCTTTGCTAACTGTCACACTTATTCACACAAACCATTAATAAGCTTTGTGCACTGCTTTGACGTGTGTGGCAGCATGTTGATCTCCTCTCAGACATGTTTCTGTGTCATCTAAGAAGAAAGGAACACAGCTAAAGATGACTGCAACTTGCACAGAAAATAAGTGGAGCACATGAGATGCCAAAAGTCAGTTTCACTAAGACCTTCCTTCTCTCACCCCAACCGGTCGCAGCAGATGGCCGCCCCGCCCTGAGCCTGGTTCTGCCGGAGGTTTCTTCCTGTTAAAAGGGAGTTTTTCCTTCCCACTGTCGCCAAAGTGCTTGCTCATAGGGGGTCATATGATTGTTGGGTTTTTCTCTGTATCTATGAAGCGCCTTGAGGCAACTTTTGTTGTGATTTGGCGCTATATAAATAAAATTGAATTGAATTGAATTGAGCCTAGTGACTGTAATGACTGTATGAAGAGAAAAACAGCATTGCAACTAGAGTGTACTTAAAATAGCTTTGATGTCCTTCCTGTTTCCATTTCACAAGTCCTCCCCTGCCCTTTACACCCTTTAATGTCAGGAGTCTAAGTGTTGAAATGGTATAGAAAAGACACTTAAAGATTGGCATATCCATGATTTAAAAAAAAAAAAAGTTATAAAATAAGCTATCATGTTGCAGGGGTGCATAGTGCCAGTCTGTTTAAATGGTAAATATAATTGTACATCATCTTTGCAAAATATAGGATCATGGTTTCACTGGTGCCAGTATACTTCTTGTGCCAATCACAAGTCCTGATAAATGGGGTGAGTTGCATCAGGAAGGGCGTCTACCCTAAAGTCTTGGAGGGATCAAAAACGCAGATCATAAAGAAGGAGATTTCCATACTGGAACAGTTGGGGCCTGGGTCATCAACAACTGCCTCAGGTGTTGTTGACCAACAAAGTGTAAACCGTACTGTCAGCCGAAGACGGAGGAAAAGGAAGAGAGTGGGAAGGCATGTTGGGGCGCAGTGAGAGAGGAAAAGAGGAAGACGTTAGAGGATGTTCATGGATGTAGTGTTTGACTCAATGTGTTATGAATGTGTGATTGATGCGCCACACTGTGTAATTACAGTGTAATTGTGTGATAAATACATCAGTGTTTTTAACAAAATATTAAGAAGACTGATAATATGTCTGTGAATGTAAAACTTATATTTTAAATAAAAGTTTAGATTTTTCAAGAAGTTCTTTGTTTTTACAACACTGATAGGACAGTTGTGTAGTCAACTAGTTCTCGTCTACATAATTACATAATTACATTACATGGTTACATAATTTCCTCTGGGCTCAATTATTCTCAAATATTCTCTCAAATATTGCAGTTTCACAAGATAATTTACTGTAGAAATGACACTATCACTGTACTAAAGATAAAGTTACAGTATTAGTAGACATATACACACTTTAAAAATTACATTATTACTGCAAAGAATGGTGTAAAGATTTACAGCACCACTACAGCATTTAAAAAAAAGTATGTTCCTGTAAAAAATTACAGTAAAAACTAAAAAGAATTACAATATGGTGGCTGTGTTTTATAGCAAGGCGATGTCAACCCTGCTGCCAGTTTTTAGCTGTACAATCTATAGCTTTTTTTTTTCTTACTGTGAAGACATGCAGAGGGTTGGTGTGATAGAAGACGATGCCAGGGATAGGATGAGATCGAGAAAGATGATCTGCTGTGGGGACCTTTAAAGGGATTAAAACTATGAACATAGGATGTGCAAACATAAAACAATTTCTGTGAATAATTTGAATGGAGGAAAGATGATATGACAAAACATGGACTTCCCTTTGTGTGTGTGTGTGTGTGTGTGTGTGTGTACCATTAACCATCAACAAACACCATTACGTGCAGCTCCTCTGGGCATTTTAAGTATATGGGGCATTATGTTTTGGTAGCTTTTCAGTGATGACACCATCTTCAAATCTCGGTATTACACAGGCAATACGAGCTGACCAGATACCACATAATGAAGTCAGGCGGATTTTGTCTATTCAGCGAGTGGTACACACACACAAACACACACACACACACACACACGCACCACACACAGACAGTCACAGAGTTACTCAGCACAAAACCCAAGCCATCACACTGGGAGCAGTACCACACACACATTTACACAAACGGCCAGTCTTAACATAACTCACAATTTTCCTAGCAGAGGGAGTTTTCTGTGTGTGTGGGTGTGTGTATGCGGTGGGCCAGAGATGTCACCCAAGTGAAGAGGAAAGAGGAAGTAAGCTGTTTAGAAAAAAAAAATATTTGGGTGTTACCAGGATATGAAGTTAACAAGTCAGTGTGAAGAAAATGAAACACAGTTGGAAACAAAGTGTTTGTGGATTTTATTTGAGGTTTTGAAGGGTGAACTCTTCACTTTTTCATTTCCTAGAGTAAATCAGTAAAACAAAGATTTGTTTGACTGAGCTGTGGTGTTATTAATAAGAGTGACAGAGCAGAGCTTGCGTCTATAGATACGCTTCCAGAAACAGAATTACTTAGTTTTGATTTGACCTCGATGATCTTCCTGCTTCAGATCTTCCCTCTTCACTTTTTTTTGTTTGTTTGAACTCCTCCTTTTTCTTCTTCTCATATGATATTCTCAGTTGCTATTGACATGAAAGGTCATTCCCTTGGAGACTGTCTTAAACTGCACCCACATGGCTTCTGTTTCTGGACATTGGCAGAGATGTGTTTCTTTTAAATTTAGTAAACTCAAAAGTGTCTCACACATTTTTGCCTTTTTTAAGGTTCCTTCAACACTAACAGAAAAAGGATTGTTTGTCATTTTGTCAATGCAACGGAAATGCAAAGTAACCCACTCCCACATTAGGATTAAATACAGGCTATGCAAAACAGCTTCACGACACCATAAGGATTACTTTGTGTATGTGTGGGCATAAATGACTGTGGATGTTGCCCAAGGGATAACGCATGCAAATAAATGATGTTACTCTTCTAAGCCATATTTAATTAATAGCGTACAGTGAATTGATATATGCCGGTCAACAGATGAGACAACTTGCGGCTTAACTTTGGGTCACACTCACTGTGTGACAAAATCAAATAAAAGTATATAACAAAAAATAAAATAAAATAAAACTGCGCTCTTTATTTGCAAGAGCCACGCCTTGTTAGAGGCAACTCCCTTTGTTGGTCCGGGGATGCAGACAGCTACACACTTCTCCTGGAATGCATGGAGTCTCCATTCATTAATTTGCACTGACAAATGAGAGGCTGCAAAGAATTAGTTTTATATAGTTGGAAATACACTTCCATGGCTCTTGACCCACTCCACATTTCTACAAGAAATAGCTGCATTGATTTATCAGAGCATTAAAAAACCCCAAAACAATTTGTGTAATTCCAACAAGCTTTCTAATGACGTCTTTATTTTTCAGCACAGCATGAACTTTCTCATGGCAACTTTCTTGTCATTTCTTTAAGTACTCTTTAGGTATAGTTCTCCAGGACATTTACATTTGGATCTTGGCGGCCTTTCGTTCTTTGTCAACATGATTCCACGCTGCTTCAATAACGTTGATGTCCAGCCTCTGAGGAGGCCAATCCATGGCTGAGCTTCAATGACACACTGAAGGAGTTTTCCATTTATGTGCATGGGATCATAGCCATGCTGATCTCCAGCAAATGAAGCTGTTGGCAGCCAGATGCTTTCCATATGGTATGGCATGGTGGATTAAAATCCAATGGCGCTTTTGTGTGTTCAGAATTCCATCAATTTTGACAAGCTCCCCAACACCACTGGCTGAGAAACCATAACAGAGCCTCTGCTGTGTTTAACAGATGGCTGTAGACACTCACTGTTGTACCTCTCTCCAGACCAACCTTCGGCACACTGATGATGATTTTAACCAAAAATTCCAACTTTGGAACAACATCCCTCTGTAACACCAGCTCTTGTTTAGCTCAAGTTCTTGTGTAATTTAGCATACCTCAGGCTTTTCTCTCTGTTTCACTTGCTTAATGATTGCTTCTTCAAAGCCACCCTTCCACTGGGACCATTTCTGATGAGAACAACTGAAGGGCTGGATGCATCTTCGAGATCCCGTCTATAGGGTTTTATCCTATTTCTTAACGGCATGACTTTTAAACTCTATTCATTCAGAATTTTTAGGCCTTCTTTCGTCTTCCACTCGTCCAGTTTACTCAAATTTTCTAACGGCACAGTACACACTGTGCTGAATTTTTAGATGATAGTTCTGTGGGAATCACTTTGTTGGTGTGTTATCTTTGGCCCCTTTTTGAAGATTCAGCTAAATAAATGGGAAAAAATGATGTGTTATTGTGACAGGCTGCTATTAAGAAAGTGCCTAAAGACACAATTTCACAAAACACATTTTGCATGCAAGGGAAATATCCTACACAAAGAGAAGCAACAGCATTATACATCATGTACATGCATTTTGCAGAGGGAGAAGAATTTCAAATGGTTCTTGTGGTTATTTTGGTCAGGCTGTAGCACGAGGAATCCCAGACATCAACTCTTGATACTTCCATCCCCCAGCCTCCATTTCACCCACTAACAACCCAAACCACTGACCACATGCACCCCCTGCTCCCAGGACCAAGCTAATTAAATGGTGCCCCCCAAACAAAATCACCACACTGCCATGGCATCTGCTTCGTGTTCATAAGTAAACACGGGTAATCAGAGGGGCTAGTAAACTGGGGACTTTTGTAAGACACAGACAGTGTAATCATTGTGTGTGTAAATGTGAACTGCTATAATAATACCTCACCTTTGACCTGCAGCCTTCACCACAGTGCAGGGGGATGACACACACTCTCTCACACACACATGCAAACACAATTTAATACCATGTCAAAGCACATTATCCTGATTTATGGAGACTTACTTTTAGCCTTACCTTAGATTAAGCCTTCTACTTTACAGCACGTGTCCCAAAAAAGGAAGCTGAGCCACCAAAACACGAGTACAGCTGTCTCTGTCTGAGCAGGGTGCTCCAGGATAACCATTGTTATCTTGCTTGGTCTTTCTGGATTCTTTATATGTCTTCTTGTACTTGGGTGCAACAGTTCAGGCTGAGGGGGGGGGGTTATCTTTGTTCCAAGGACGGGAAGCCGGTTGCGTGTGCGTGTGTGTGTTTGCCCTCGCGTGAGATAGTGTTTACGTGAAGGAAGGAAGATTAGTTTGGCCAGCAGCCTATTTCTGGCCACACAATGTTAGACATAAGAGTATTTTCACTGCGTTCATGTACACATGATGATATATACTTTTGTTACCGTACAAATGACAAATACAATATTTGCCGTTTGCAGATTGTGTTGTCAGTCTGATATCAGGGAATACGCATGCTAACAGGCATGGTAAGTTTTGTGTTTCACAAAAGGAATTTTGTGTTTTGCTATTTTTGGACTCACAAATTCACTTTCCAACAGTTGAGAGGCACAAAGGTCGAGCACAATGAAAATAGCTTGTCCAACAAGAGCATTTTGTCATGTACAGCACGTACCGGTAACTGTATATTTTTTGTATCTATAAGCATGAAACTTACACACATTTTGAGCTTAGCTCACTGGATTTCTTAAAGGGACAGTTTTTCTTTTGGAGTATAACATCAAGTCAATTTAACTTCTGGGATATTGATCTGGTCAGTTAAATAGCAGAGGGGGGTTGTTGATCAATTTAAGCTGCTTTTGTTTATTAATGAAATTACCAACAGGTGCACTAGAGGGGCAAAAATGAGACAAACCCCAACACAAAACTGGTTTTACAAGTGGAGGCCACTCACATTTTTCCCTCCTCTTCCTTTCTGACTTTTACTTCACTCATTTTTGCATTTGGCTAGGGTCAGAGTCACTACTGGTAATATGAGGAAATGCCTGGATCCTACAGAGGTTGCACAGGTAGTTCAACCTTGCTGTGCCAAGAGCATGGACTTGATTGAGAGCTGGGTGTGGTGGGTGTGGCCGTAGAAGGCTCTTAACCCACCAGCAGTACTGTTATCTGCTTCTTTGTGCAAGAGTGAAAAGGATGAACACTGCCAGACTAGTGTACAGCGTCTGGCTTTCAATATCACCTTGATCTCAAAATATTTGTTTTGCTAATAATTAGGTGATTAGAGAACATGCCCATTGTGAAAATGCCGGGAACCGTGTGTTTGCATGTATGCATATTTTTGTGAGTGATCCATGTTCATCAGCTTAGAAAGAAATTGCTGATAAAACATGATGACTAACTGCAGATCTTCAATGTTGGCCTTCTTATCAGACCTACAGTTCCAGTTGTCATTTCCTTTTTGACTGACTGGTTTTTTTATGCATTAGGAAGCCGCAGACTTTTTGCTGCCTAAATCACGCAGTCGCTGCTCTTGGTTTCTTCATTTTCTGCTTTGTGTGTACTTTCTTTAGGCTCTCTGTGTCTGAAGTTCTGTGCCTCCTGTGGCCAGATGCTCACGCAAATGAATGGAAATCTAGGGATGCAAATCCAACGGAAAGTAGCTTGTGTTAGTCCGTTTGTGTTTGTTTGTGTGTGTGAAGTCTTTTGGCTTCAACCAGATTGTCCTAGCTAAACCAGCTCACCAGGGTGGGGTGAGAGAAAGGAAATAATAGCAGGAAAAGTAATGACAGGTGTTTTGCTGCTGAATTATTTCTCTTGCTTATACTTGGCATCTAACACAGGCTGGTGATAGCAGCATAAGGATAATTCTAACACGAATAAGACGGCGACTTTTCATTATGTCTCTGAAATTGTGCAAACCCCCAAAGTGGTCCTCCTCTTTTCATTTTAAACAGGGAGCTTTGACTTCTAAAACAGGAAGCTTGGATACATTTGTGACTTTCTTTATTGTGCAGGACAAACACTGTACAAGTATGTTAGAGGAGTTTTGGCCCTCCCTAATTGAAACTCCCGGATAATATTCTGGTATGAGGTTACTTCGTGCAGTGTTTGAAAGGTCTGGATGACACACAGCTTCAGCAAACTGAAAAAAAATATGATTGTTTGTGTTGCCGTGTAATTCTAAAAGCAAATGCAATTATTTTAAATGTGTCTGCATCAGTGTCAACACTGCCTGAGCCTCTCCCTCCGTCTACCAGAGGAAAGGAAGGGAGGGAAGAGAGAGGTGAAGAAAAGAGCCTGACTGCCAGCATTGTTCCACAATCACATCTTTCTGACTGCTTTCTTTCTCAATGTATAATCTTCTGCATATTTTTCTCCCTCACTAATAATATTGCTTCTGTACAGCAGTATCTTCTATCTCTTGGCTTTGTGTAGTTTTTTCCTGCCTTGTTCATTCTGCCTCCTGCTGATTGCCTAAAGTAGCAGGAGTGAGCGCGGACACACAGACACATACACTCTTGTACACACTATGAGAAACAGGAACAGAGGAGGTGGGGGTGCTTCCTGTCTGGCTGGAGATCGTTGTGTTTCTTTGTGCCTGTGTGTGCGTGTGTGCGTCTGGCGTGCTTCTAGTGGTAGAAGCACTGCAGAATAAAACGAATTCGAGGGGAGTGGGAGGATTTCAGTTTTCATGGTCACACACAGCATAAATGTCTTTGAATGAGTATTAACATGATGAAGGTCAGAACAGAGTGCACAGGGAGGCAATTTTCCATGACTTGTCATTAAGTGAAGAACAATTTTTAAAGGAGTATTTGAGTTTCTTACAGTTTAGACTATTTTGCTATCAATCACAATGTTTAAAATAAAGTGTAAATGCAAAATTTAGCAGTTGGGACATAAGCAGCAGTACTAACAGTGCATAATTCACAGTGGCCTTCACAGTGTGGGCTGGGTGTGTCTGTTTCTGAAATGAAACTGTTAAAATGCTAGTTTTTGTGAGCAGGCTGCTCTCAAGGCAACTGGCCCATGACCATATGCATTTAAATAAATATATAATTTTATGTTAATCGTGCAGAGATCATTGTATTTGGCACACCTGTTCAACCACTCTTTAACACAAATATCAAATCAACTAATCACATGGAAGCAACTTAGTGCATTTAAGTATAAAGACACAGTCTAAACCACCTGTTGAAGTTCAAGAATGGGGAGGAAAGATGATTTATCTGACTTTAAACACGGCATGGTTGTTAGTGCCAGCCAAGCTATTTCAGAAACTGCTGATCTACTGGGATTTTCCAGCCATCTCAGAGGTTTCCAGAGAGTTGTCTGACAAGAAAAAAATATCCAGTGAGCTGCATTTCTCTGGGTGACATACAATGTTGATGTGAGAGGTCAGAGGAGAATGGCCAAGCTGCTTACAGAGGACAGGAAGGCAAGTGTAACTCAAACAACCACTGGTTGCCATAAAGGTATGCAGAAGATCATCTGAATACACAACACGTCGACTGTTGAAGCAGATGGGTTACAGCAGCTGAAGACCACACGATGTGACAGTCCTGACAACAGAAGACCGGATTGCTCTTAAGGATTGTTTGGAGTCGACTGTGTGGGAGGTGATCTGTGACGACCACGGAGAGGACACCGACAGCCTGGTAACATGCATTACGGACTATATAAACTTCTGTGTGGATAACACCGTGCCTACCAGGACTGTGCGGTGTTTCTCCAACAACAAACCGTGGATTAACCCAGGAATTAAAGCCGTCCTTAAGCAGAAGAGGAGGGCCTTCAAATCCAGAGACAAGGAGGAGTTGAAAAGGGTGCAGAGAGAGCTGAGAGGACTGATAAGGAATGGGAAGGACAGCTACAGGCAGAAGTTGAAGAACCAGCTTCAACAAAACAACATTGGTGAAGTCTGGAGAGGCCTCAGAACCATCTCGGGCCACAAAGGTCAGAACTCTCTGCCTGGGAGGGATGTGAGGTGGGCAAATGAACTGAATCATTTCTTCAACAGATTTGATTCAGCCATGAGGCAGTCTGCAACATCGGCTGCAGACTCACCCACCCCCCCACTACTGCTGTCTCACCTCTGACACCTCAGACACTTCACACCTCCTCCACTCACCCTGCTCACTCCTCCCCACCCCCAACAACAGCATCCAATACACACTCAACACAAGGCTCCAGTCTGTGTCTCTCAACCACCCAGGTTAGGAGGGAACTGAGGAGGATTAAAGCCAAGAAGGCAGCGGGCCCAGATGGCATCAGCTCAAGGGTGGTCAGGTCCTGCGCAGACCAACTGTGTGGGGTGATGGAGCACCTCTTCAACTTGAGCCTGAGGCTGGGAAGAGCTCTGGAAAACCTCCTGTGTTGTACCAGCGCCAAAGACTTCACGCCCCAAGGACCTCAACAGCTACAGGCCGGTGGCTCTGACATCCCCCCTGATGAAGACCCTGGAGTGGCTGGTCCTAGCTCAGCTTCGGCACCTGGTGAGCTCATCACTGGACCCACTTCAGTTTGCCTACCAACCTGGCATTGGAGCGGATGATGCCGTCATCCACCTCCTACATCGTTCCCTTTCTCATCTGGAGACCGCTGGGAGCACTGTGAGAATTATGTTCTTTGATTTCTCCAGTGCCTTCAACACCATTCTTCCCACGGTCCTGAAGGACAAGCTGGAGAACTCTGGAGTGGACCATCACCTCACTACATGGATTCTGGACTACCTCACCGACCGACCACAGTATGTGAGGACTCAGGGCTGTGTGTCGGACAGGGTCGTCTGCAGTACGGGGGCCCCACAGGGAACGGTTCTGGCTCCGTTCCTCTTCACCATCTACACTGCAGACTTCTCCCACAACTCCACCCAGTGCTTCCTGCAGAAGTTCTCTGATGACTCTGCAATAGTCGGCCTCATCACTGATGGGGACGACAAGGAGTACAGAGGACTGACTCAAGACTTTGTGGACTGGTGCCAGCTGAACTACCTCCAGATCAATGCCAGTAAAACCAAGGAGCTGGTGGTAGACTTCCGCAGGCACAACATTCTCCACTGCAACCACTGAACATCCAAGGTATGGACATTGAGGCTGTGGACAGCTACAGGTACCTTGGTGTTCATCTGAACAATCAACTGGACTGGACTCATAATCAGACGCCCTCTACAGGAAAGGGCAGAGCAGGCTGTACCTGCTGCGGAGACTC